CGGGTTTTCGGCTTTAATTCGTTTGCTTAATTTGCTTTTTCGAGCTCGCGGTTCAGCGAGGTGAAACGGTTAAATGTTTTCAAAACTGCCCGAGTGTTTTCTTTCGCCATGTGTATATGGCTTTGCGTGTGTTCATTGTTATTTCGGTGAGCCGCCCCTCCGGTGTGTGCATTATGCTAACTAGACCCTAATGTCGGTGCCCGGGTGTTTTCAGTGCTCCACATTGGTGTATCGTATGGGTATAATATGCCCCATAAAGGGCCACTCGATATATTTGAGCCAGGGCTGCAGTTCGTGGTATTCCGAGTTCATTGCTCTGGATCGCCCAATCATAGAGCAACGACTTTATGTTGGGACCCTAGTCGGGAAAAAACGATTCAAAAAGCGACCGTAGCAAATGGAAAATGTCAGCAAATTATGAATAATGTAGTGAAAAATAGGGGGACCACAGAAAAACGTGATCGGAAAATGCCACAAAAACATTGCATAAATAATACTTATTATCGGGCAGGGCGAAGCGACATTTAAAGCTTTTGCTTCGTTCGCCCACAGACCATCTGAATCATCAGTAGAAATATGTACATATGTACATATTTCGCGCTGTATTTGTTTGTACTAGTAAGTTTTCATTTCGCAACTGATACTTCTGTTTGTTTGTAACTGGAACCTAACCGCCCGATGTCACTGTTTATTTATTCATTACCATCGCTACACAGAAATCCAAAATGTTCAAACTTCCTTATTATTTTTGTGTCTCAAGACTTAAAGATTTGACACTATTATTTAAAGCCAAAGGTAAAAATAAAACAACTGCCTTTAACGGAGGTAAAAGTATGAAAAACAGTAGAATTATTGAAAAATGTACGTATACATTTTAAACAATGAAAAACACTATAGTCGGTTACCTCGACTATCAGATACCCGATAGTATAGCAGGTAGGAATTTACAAAACCAATACATTTTAGTTGCTGTACTGTGCTGTTTGTGGACGTTAGAGTGGGCTGGCTCCTTGCTGAAATAAACTTGCGCTGCGCAAGAATCTCTAGAATCTGCATGCTTAATTCCAAAATTCAAGCGTTATACGAACGGAAAGACAGACGAATATGGCTGTATCGACTGGGCTAATGATCCTGATCAAGAATATATATACCTTATAGGGTCGGAAATGCTTCCTTCTCCTTGTTAAATACATACTTTCCGACGAATCAAGTATACGAGTAACGGATAGAACAATATTTTATCTATGAATAAATTAAAGGTACTCATTTTTTGTGGCTTTGAATTCTAAAGATTTTTAACAAAACTTGCATATGAAAAACTGATCGTGTTGTATTTCTTCTGTGCGGCACTCTTTTCAATTCCATTAGATACGGCAGCTTTATTTTCTGCTTGTCTCCGTGCCTTTGCCCACAAATGTTGACTTTTCGAATTAAGTTTCACCGTTAGCAAAGATCAGGCGGTATTCGCTGGATTCTCGTCTTTCGGCAGCGTTATCGGTGATTTTCGCATTCAGTCGAAAAAATTGACCTAGTCAACGAAATGGGAGATCCGCGATCTCTGCTCTCGCTCTTCCGGAGTACAAAACATGTTTTCGAAGCTTTTGGAGAGCTTAACCAAAGCTTTTTATACTCTCTTAATAAAGAGAAAGTTCTCTTAGGATGTTCGTATACAAAACTATTTAAACAAAGAGCTCTCTTTGTATCTTTTTGTTTTTGACATTGAGTACACTTCTCGTGGTTTTGTTGATACTATAAACATTGGGAAAAACAATATCCAACCCAACCTTTGTGTTGCCAAGGTTTACCAGCAACTCAAGTCTAATATGTGGGGATGAAAGTTGAACTTAGATATACAAATTGAAATAAAAGCAAACGATGTTCAAAGTGCAATTACCACGTAAAGCGATGAATAAGTGTATTTAAATCAAAGTTCACTTCTAGGTCTCACCTTTCTCCTCATTTTCCCCTAGACTTGCGAGTACTATTAAGTAGGTACTTGGTTGTATACAAACTAAGCAAACAAAAAACAAAGTGGGTGTTTGACAGCGCAATAATGAATAAAAACAAGTGCATCGACGATTGCAGCAGCAAAAGGCTTGTTTGATAACAAGAATTGCATGTGCGAGGCGCAAGTGGAAAATGTAATACCCTTGACTAATAATTGACTAATTCTTATCGGTTTCAAATTCTGGTTCCCCATAATCTTTGTGTGGTATAACCTTTTTCCACAGAAACGACAATAAAGACAACAGAATTTATTCTATATTTGTTTAATATTTAAGGGTAATTATTCAAGATTGCCAATTATTTAATAAAAAATATATATATTTGTGTATTATGGATACATATATTGATATTAAAATCTTTAGTATAGTGTTGGAAGTTTCAGGGCCTGAAAAAAGTGAATTCAACAAAACTCTGAATTGGTTTAATATACATTTTGGATGTAAACTTTATTTCTTTAAAGTACATTTTTCTTATATTCCAAATACATTTCGATGTTAAAGTGATTTTAACTTTTTTTTTAAGTTTTTGAAGATACAAAAATATTGAAACAAAATTAGAAATAGAAAATACTTAGTGTCCAAATATTCGTTTTACCACAATGATTGAATGTAATTAGTGAGATAGGTAGTTATTTATCGATTTCTTCAATGATATTTCTAACTGAAACATGACTCAATGAACTGTGTGTGAACTGTCTTTGCGAGAACATTATATCACCCTTGGTGAGGGTATAAAAAACTTGGCGACCCAAAATAGTGCCGTTATCCTATTCCCCACGCGCGTGTCAATCTTGCAATGGTGTGCGTACTTACTTGATCACGTATCATGTATTTATATGACTTTGTTTTTTGGTTTATACCTAAAAACAAGTCAATAACAATAACTAAACACTGCGTTTATTAACAGAGTTCCGAGCACACTAGCGTCTAAATCTTACAAATACTCTTCTTACTGGTTCAAGTACTTCTTCCGTTGGTGTAGCACCCCCCACGCAAATCTATTCCCGATCCGTTGGGGTAAACAATCGCACGTATTGTTGTTTACTTATTTGCTATCCCAAGTTGTTATTTTTAAGTGCACTTTTTCTGTAATTTGACAAAAGCCATGTGCAGTTGTTGTCGCGGCCTGTTGTTTACAGCAAATTAAAGCTCTTTTACATATCCATCCCACAATATTCTACGTTCTGAACGGCGAGCCCACCGATGGCGACCAATGGCAGCCAAGTAAACAAGCCGTGGGCAAAACAAACAACACCATCAGCCGGCAACGCGGAAGAGAATTTGTTTACGTCTTATCCAAGTGGCAATTACAGATCAGAAAAACATCGTAGGGGGATCATATCGGAGTAGTTTTAGGTCTATGTCGATCCACTTTGTACTGTAAGAATCTAGGCTTGGCCAGTAAAAGTATCAAGACCTGGCAATAAAGTTATGATTCATTTTGATGATTTGCTTACGAGTTTTTAATAACAAAATGATAAGAAACTTACAAGCTAAATGCTTGTTTATGAAATTTTTTATATTTATCTTGAACTTTTTAAGAGCTCTCACAAGAGGTTACCTATGTATCAACCCATTTGAACCTATTAAACTTCCTAAAGACATATGTAAACATACGTATGTTTGTTTACAAAACAGCAAAAAGATATAATACATATCTCTAATTAATAAAGCATGGGCTCACGTTGGATAAAGATAAAAAGCAACATTTGCCCTCCCTTTGAGTTGACTTTTATGAGACAAAAACGAGTTGATCGAACGCAGAAGTAGCTGAAATGTCAACACTGCCCCGCAGCTAATGACCCTGGATGGTATAATTTACGACATCTTTTGGGCGTATATCTCTTTTCTGCTAGCAACTTGTAGCTGAACCAGACTTTTTCGGATGGCGGATCATTGCTCGCACCGGTTTCTGCTTTTCGAAGGGGGCCTGCCCTCTCAGCCGGCTTCCGCCTTTGGGGGCACACTAAATTCTATGCTTCACCTCCACTGCGTAGTTCGTTTAACCGGTGCCATATAGCGCCATATAGTATCGGCCGATGTATGTCAATCTATAAGTTCGCACATCTGTATGTGTATCAGCATAGGAACGAGTATTCTTGGGCTGTTAAGGCGCGAGCAACTCACGCGCTCTCAACTATTTCGACCTTGATGGCACTAGCGGCATTATCTATCCACTCGCTGTTGTTTTGCTTGTTATGACACTCTGAATACATTACATTGTAGAACCCGCTCGCACATATACTTATATATGGGAATGGAGATACATATGAATGAAGGGGCTCGTCTCTTGTTGTTTTCTCGGTTGGGATGTGTGTAACATGTTTTAATTAAAGCCGAGAGAACCAGTTATAGCCCGTCTTTGAAGGGGAAAAATCTTCAGAAGCGAGTTACTTTGCAGCTTAAGTTCAAAGTTTTACTTTTAAATTTGCCCCAACCATATGCGGTATTTTCGCATCTATACTATTTGGTTTCATTCTATCTAATCTAATCATTTCAACACCATAAGGGCTGATTTTATGAGAAATACCTGATTTGGCTTACTGGCTAAACCTTTAAATTGATCAAAACAAACTAGATAATTATATTTTCTTGGATTGTGGACTTAAGTGATTTGGAGATCCTATGTTAAATGAACCTAGAGCAGTGGTTTTTCGATGTTTCAACTGGGCAGTAGAACACCCTACTCACTCAGCTGCCAAAAAATCTAAGGAAGCCAAGTGGCTTACATTTCTCCAGGCCTTTTTATTTAAAAGACTTCTCTGTTTTGATCAAAATTTTAGTGTGTAAATGCAATTCGTCAGATCCAAGACAAGTACAAGTTCAAGCGCTGTGCCAGCTTCGTTCCCTCAAGTACGTACAATTAGCGGAGAGGTGGAGGTTCATGAACTGCGGCTTTTCTGCAGCGGAAGTGCATAGGAGACAAACATACGGAGGAAAACATAGAGGGGAACCAACTGCCATCAAATGGCCACCTTCGGCCGATGGCTCAGTTCACATTGACGGACTGCATCGGACGGTCGTCGGCAGGGAGCGGAAACTGAGCGATAAACCCTCGGTTCCACCCGTATCTTTTGCCGAGGCTCTTATCTTGCGGAGTTGTCTTATCGCGCGCGTTCAGTCAATCTTATCGCAGCACCAGAAAGTCGGGGGAAAAGTAGTGAAAAGCAGCCAGCTCAGTGTGACAAAAGTTGGTTGGAATTCAATGTGTTTTTCCGCAGCTCGGCGCTGTTATGCTGCTTCAGTAGGGTAATAATTAATCAATTGATTACCGCGTTGACTAAATAGTAATTAGTGAGAGTGTTTATGTTGTTTGAGACCCCACTTAAGAAGTGTTCGTAAAGTAGTAGAGCCTTGACACGTGTCTAACCTCAAATAACAAGTGTTCGATGGGTGCGACTGACTGAAATACTAAACGAAAACCAGTGATAAGGTGTAACCAAAGGTGTCGAGATCTCACTGGCTTTAAGTCCAATCTGGCTATATCAATTTCTGATTCATTGTTTTGTTCAGGTGGCCTTGGTATTTCCACTTCCCGTTTGCAATTTACGACCGATTCGAACCGACATACCGATTAGATAAACCCCTAGCCTGGTTGTGGGCTGTACTTTACAGTGTTAACTCCGTACTCACACACGAACACACTCTCATCCCCCAATTAACCGCTACTAACTCACCACCGGCCTATGACTAAGTCGAGGCCCAAGCAACTGCCACAAAACATACTAAACGCAACGCCTAACACCAAGTGTAATCGCCTAATCGCAAGAGCATCCCCATTTCTTCTACGTACACAGATCAGGATCAAGAGCAAGGTAACAGGCACTGGACGAACCCAGCCCTACATGTCCCACAACTAGAGTCCGTTCTCCAGCCCAAGGACTAGCTAAGGACACCATCCCATCCCATCATGCCGCTCTTCACGAGAAAATCACCCAAACAGGGACCCACTGCGGATGGGGGCTCCCAGTTCGGAAGCCGCTCCTCCATGAATTCCGGCTCGTCGCAGGGCAGCCACATCAGCAATAACAATAACAACAACAGCATTCCGGAAAAGACGAAGCCGCCTCTGGTTTTCCATTGCCAATTGGCCCACGGAAGCCCCACCGGCCTCATCCACGACTTCTCCAGCGTTCGCGAGCTGTACCAGAAGATTGCCGAGTGCTTTGATATATCCGAGAAGGACATCCTCTTCTGCACCCTCAACTCGCACAAGGTGGACATGACGCGCCTGCTGGGCGGTCAGATCGGCCTGGATGACTTCATCTTTGCCCATCGCAAGGGTCGCCCCAAGGAGATCGAGATTGTGAAGTCGCAGGACGCCCTGGGGCTGACCATCACGGACAATGGAGCCGGCTACGCCTTCATAAAGCGGATAAAGGAGGACTCGATCATCGATCGCATCGAGCACATCTGCGTGGGCGATCACATCGAGAAGCTCAATGGCCAGAACATGGTGGGCAAGCGGCACTACGAGGTGGCGCGCATGCTGAAGGACATAGCCACCGGCGAGACCTTCACCCTGCGCCTCGTGGAGCCAGTGAGGAGCGGCTTCCAGGGCATCGGACCGCGCAGCCAGTCGAGGGCGTCGGGGTCGGCCGGGGGAAAGAACTACGGGAGCGGCAAGGAGACGCTGCGCTTCAAGGCCAATGGCAATGCCCAGATCGAGCCGCAGTTCGATGAGGCGACAGTGGCCGGGATCGAGGCCATCAACAACCTGCTGGAGTCCTTCATGGGCATCAACGACACGGAGCTGGCGTCCCAGATCTGGGACTTGGGCGACCAGAAGTCCAACTCGATGGACTTCGCCGAGGCCATCGACAACTCCGACCTGGAGTCCTTCGGCTTCACGGATGACTTCATCATCGAGCTGTGGGGTGCCATAACGGATGCCCGGCGCAAATCCACGACCAGTCCCAAGTAGTTGGGACCGTACCATACCGAGGTTCGGGCGCATTTCACTTTGCCTGTTTATTGGGGCCCAATAAAACCATTGAAATGAGGACTTGTTCTTAGTAATTGCTATTATCTTCTAACTGCTATCTGCTATCTGAATATGTTTTGTTTTAGAGCCTAGTTATATTTACCATATATCATGCTACAATCCCATATACAAACATATGTCGTCTGCCTTTGCCAATTATTTAGTTATTTGTATTCTTCACGGTAACCTATTTATTATATATACATTCGTTTAGATGGACGGGAAGATGTGCTGAGGCATCCATACTATATATTTTTGGTACAATTTGTTCGATGTACATACGTATAACTATATTTCTTTAGTTTTATCATTTAAACAATACAAATAAATTTAAATTATTTTAATCATACATGATTTTGCTTATTTTGATTATTATTGTTATCTGTTTTGGTAAGTTTGTTTGTTTGCTCGGGTCTTAAAGTATAATTTGATTCAAAAAGGCGATGTTATCTTTTGTTGGCACCGATCGTACGGCACACGGAAAATATTCCACAGTCCCCAATTGTGACGAATGGCTTGGCTGTTTTTCTTTTAGCGTTTTTATTGTTTTCCCACCATTTGCTTTGCCCGCAGCATAGCATATTTTGACCATGGATCATTTGGGGACTCATTCGAATCTATATTCTATGGGAGACTTCCTGTACCGAAAGAAGCATCTAGTCAGTCTGAAAAGATCTCTGAACATTTCCAGTGACGTAGATCGCACCATCCCACAATGACGATTTTCTGGGGTCCCAGACTCGGATCAGATCATACATATACCATTATTTTATTTATTACACGTATAGAGCTTTTGATTGCGCATAAACAGCTGCTGTTTGGCGTGCGAGCAGCTGATAAGCACAGTTATTAAGGCTTGCCAAATGAGAGTAAGAACGAGAGAGCGTGCATTTGCACACCACTCACTCACACACTTGCTTGTATACACTTGTGGTCAACTTAATAGAAGTACTTGCCAGAACTTAAATACTCCCAAAATTTTAAAATATGGTTCTATATTTTTCGATATAAATATGTGTACAGAAAAAGAATGTTCGAGAAAATTTTTGGTGAAAGGGAAAATGCAGGGTAGCTATTATTCCGACCGCCTCTGTCTGCACATAGATATGCCTTGGCAACAAGAGTTACATGACTTTCCGGTTTTACAGGTTTGTTGCGAAGCTTCGCTCTCTTTTTGCACTCTCTCGCGCTCTCACTCACACTCGGGCACCTGCCTAATTCGATTAGCCGCACTGCTCCAACGCTCACTCTTCAGAGAGATCTCGAGCGAGCAACAAGTGAACGGAAGAAACCGAACAGTGAAGAATCAGAAAGACCGAAGAAACACCCAAGAACTCTTCAATAACATCGTGAACAGAAAAGAAATACAAAATACACGGAAAGCAGAGTGATTCGCCATAGTTTCGCTAGTGTTTTCAAGGGCGCCGGTTATACAGCAGTGCTGAAATTTTGTGCCAGGTAGTGAATTCGGATTACATACCGAAAACCAACGAATTATTTCGAAAATTTCCATTATACTAGAGATCCGCCGAGAACGTACGCCTGCAGACGTTTTCTTGGCAAGATCTTTGGTTAGACTTTGTGCCCGTGTTTGTTTGTTTGTTCGCCACTTTTCCTTCGCTCGCATTCCCCCATTCCGATTCTCTGGACTTTGATCGTGACTCAACACAAATCAGCAAACAGCCGCAGACCCAGACCCATTAAAATGCACATTATAACTAAACTCGTCGCGAAATTGAACCAATCTGCTTGGATTTAAATTTCGATTTGGTGCGGGAGCAAAGTTTTCGTGATTGAGCACAGACAAAAATGAAGGCTTACTAGCATAAGAACTTTATTTCCTTTATCTAGTAAAAAATATAGTTTTTCAAGTGTCTCTTTAAGATATTAGGAAATACAAATGCTTTTGTTGTACATACAGAAATGCAGTGTTATCTTTCGAGTCACGGAGTTATTGTTTGTGTGGAGGCCCGAGTTCTCCTTTGTGCCTTTGTCTGGATACACTCGCATATAGCTCCCGAAGTTGGCCCCATTCTGGGGCTTCTTTGTTACTCACTGTTGTTACTCTAGTTACCATCGGCTGATTTCCATGTGCTTCGTTTCATCGAATGTTGTTTTGCTACCCGCATTTGCTCCACGAATCGCGATTTACTTGGCTCCGCAGCTTCGCAGGTGAAAGTGAAGCGGGCCGCAACGCGTGACAGATGGCGTGATGTCTGCGGTTCGGGTGGTGCGTGCAAATGTAGGACTCCCGATTAGGTCCCCCTTCCGCCCCTTCCCTACACTGAGAGAAAAAGTATCACCGAAATAGTCGGTCAAAATAGTTCATACTTGAGTCATTGCATACTTAAATATTAACAAAATAGGGTTTCCCCACTTTAAAGTATATGTTTCAACGAGAGTCTTCAAGTGTTCTTTTAAATAAATCCTCTTCATAGTAAACTTTATAACTTAACTTAAACTAGAGTTAAAGTATCATTAGTACAAATGATACATACAAGGTTTGACTCGAAAATACACTTTTTAATAACAAAAAATAGAAATAGTTTCAAATGTTTACCAAAAACTTGTACTTAAATGTAAAGCATTTGATTAAAATCAACAATTGAGACAACAAAGAATCGTATTTTTGCCTATTCAAATCTATTGAAGGCTTATCTGGCAAATTCTTTCGAATTCCCAGCCAGGCAAAATAAAATAATCTCGCCAGATTGTCGAGTGTGTGAAGTACCGATATCGACGACCGTTGGCACGGCTGCCAAAAGCCAAAAATCTAGCCATTATTATTTGTTGAATTCGCTTAATTATTGTGCAATGTTGGACATTGAACTCCACGGCTAGTTATTAACGAACTTGTTCGAATGTATTCCGAGTTGTAAAGCGCGCGTTCCACTCGATATCGCGTGATGTCTTTCGGGGCCCATGATTAATTCATACTTATAGTGAGGTCGCATGTGTTTGAGTTTCGTGGGGCTGTTTATTCTGTGTTTTATCATTCGCAACAGTAGAACACGCCACTGGTATCGCTAACCGTCGCTGATAAGCGGCGTTCGACTGGTTTATCGCCCCAATTCATCGGTGGTGACACTCGTAAATAGTTTTTATCCCAGATAAGCACTCGAAAGTGCCTTCAGCGGGGCCGACAGCCCCAATAATTTTATTAGCCCCTCTTTCCAAGTTGGGTCTTGCCTTGAACTTGTTGTAAATAAACTTAACCGCGTGCAGGGCAAATTAAATGAATTGCAATCAAGTGATATTCGCACATGAACAACACTGGTCGAAATAGTATGATTAGTTAAAAAAGATTTTAATTTAAAATGGAAAAATTAAATATATACAAACCTTTTTAATCATTTGCCATTAGTTTCTTTAGTTTGACCCTTAACATAACTTTTAAAAGGTTACACACTTTGTTAATAAATAACTCATTCCAAAGTCAATATAATATAGTGTACAATAACAATACAATTGAAAGCAATGCGAGTTAATATTATTTCGACGAGTAAATCAAGTCATAAAAGCTAATCTCTGATCGTAAAATAATGAAGAATTCCAAATGATTAGTTATTTTTAAATCTACAACTCCCAGTTTCTTCTTATTATATCAACAACTATTATAACTACCACGATTGGTACCATGTTAGGGGTTTATTTTATGTTTAGATGGTTGCTATGACTGTGACCCCAAGTATTGAATATATTATAGGAAGCTGCTTTGTTTATAATTTTCCTTTTGCGCTTGTATTTTCGACGTCACGTCCGCCGTTTGGCAACATTTCAGCGCAAATGTACTGCATGTTGCTGGCGGTCAGCAACACATTGCTCCGAGGCTTTGTCGCTGGTCTATAGGAACTCACCTTGACTTTGAGCACCGCGAGAGCGAAAGACGAAGGGGTTAAAAATAAAATTCAGGTGCATTGTTGGGGCTTCCAATGCGCACAGGATGCCTTCTGATGCAATTTGTCTATTTCTTCTGCCGACGCTCGCCGTTGCCAAGCCGAAATAAATGTCGGAAAAATGGTTTATGGCCTATACAAATTACTCATGACCGTTTCCGCTTTGCCCTTTACAGTTGCCGTATCTCAAAGGCGGGTCCAAAGTATCGCCCAGCACGTCGCAGAGCCGATTCCTTCGTCAATAAGCGGCGCATTTGAACGCCTGCCAATAAAAATGGCTGCCATATAACCACACAAGGCGGACGCAACCACGCAAAGTCGGAGCTTTGCGATTAGACAAGCAGATTCCGGGGAGTTCAAGGCGAGATCCCCAGCAGTAAGGAACCCCCATTTTCGGGCAGACCGAACCGAACCGAAGCAGACCAAAGATGAATAGCCTGGCGCGGGTCTTCAGCAACTTCCGCGACTTCTACAACGACATCAATGCGGCCACCCTCACGGGAGCCATCGATGTGATCGTGGTGGAGCAGCGGGATGGCGAGTTCCAGTGCTCACCCTTCCACGTTCGCTTCGGCAAACTGGGAGTGCTGAGGAGTCGGGAAAAGGTGGTAAGTGGAGTCATTAGTCCCTAAGAGCAGTATTTTAACATCTTAATGGCAAGGTGTTTTCTTTTGGCAAAGCCGAGATGATCTCATCCATATCAAAAACTAAGGGGACTTTCGTTTCTAACGAGGCAAGTTATTGCTAGGGGAACCTCTAATGTAGTAACTGATCATTAAACCTCATGAACTTTGTATCTAGGCCCTAAAATATAAAAATGTTTGTATGATATTATATGTAGGTAAAATGTACAAAGAGCTTGTAAAAAGGGTATTGCCTATTATTGTTCTTATATCTTATAATTACGCAAACAGAATAATTAGCGAAATTATAATATATATAATACGATGTGAGTGTCGATGATCGCATTTAAACAAAGCAAAATAAGTACAGATATAGTTAGGAATTGCGGAAGAATTTTACATAATAATCAAAAGTACGCGAATTTCAATTACTTATCCCCGTTTTCAACCTTTTTTTCAGGTGGACATTGAGATCAATGGCACCCCTGTCGACATACAGATGAAGCTGGGCGACTCCGGCGAGGCCTTCTTCGTGGAGGAGTGCCTGGAGGATGAGGACGAGGAGCTGCCGGCCAACCTGGCCACCTCGCCCATCCCCAACAGCTTCCTGCAGTCGCGGGACAAGGCCAACGACACCATGGAGGACATCAGCGGAGTGGTGGCCGACAAGTAAGTGGGATTTGCCTAATTCGCTACCAGCCCAGACTCATCCTGTCGCTTGCTTAACCATTTTAGAAATGCTAGCGAGGATCTGCTCCTGCCCCTGCCGATGCCGCGACGCAACTCCATTGACTTCTCCAAGGAGGAGCCCAAGGAAGCCGCCGTCGAGGGCGGCAAGTTCGAGAACCAGGTCTCGGATTACACGCAGCGCAGGTACATAATGCCTTTTCATACCCATGCCATCCGGTACATATTCAATTAATGCATACCCAACCAAAACAGACACACGGACAACACTCTGGAACGTCGCAATCTGAGCGAGAAACTGAAGGAGTTCACCACCCAGAAGATTCGCCAGGAGTGGGCCGAGCACGAGGAGCTGTTCCAGGGCGAGAAGAAGCTGGCAGAGTCGGAGCTGGAGAGCCAAAGCAAAGCTTCCAACGAGACAGCTGAGACAGAGAAGGAAGTGCAGAACAAGGAGGCGGACAAGGAGAAGGACCAGCCCAAACCAGATATTACCCTGACTCCGGTGACCACCAGCGAGGCCACCAAGGAGGTGTCCAAGAGCAAGACCAAGAAGCGGCGCAAGAAGTCGCAGATGAAGAAGAACGCCCAGCGCAAGACCTCCTCTAGCAGCTCCGTGGGCAGTGCTGCCGGCGGTGATTTGCCCTCGGCGGAGACGGCATCTCTGGGAGTCACCAACATCGATGAGGGCGATGCCCCCATATCCAGTGCCACCAACAACAACAACACCTCCTCGTCAAATGATGAGCAACCATCGGCTCCTCTAGTCACCGCCCGCACCGGTGACGACAGCCCGCTAAGCGAGCTGCCCCACACCCCCACAACTAATCCACGTCTGGACTTGGACATTCACTTCTTCAGCGACACGGAGATCACCACTCCAGTGGGAAGTGGCGTGGGCGGATCGGGTCGCGTCGCCGGCGGACGACCTTCAACGCCCATCCAGAGCGACAGTGAGCTAGAGACCACGATGCGGGACAAGCGGCATGTGGTGGACGACGAGAACGCCGCCTCGTGGAAATGGGGCGAGCTGCCCACTCCCGAGCAGGCCAAGAACGAGGCCATGAGCGCCGCCCAGGTGCAGCAGAGCGAGCACCAGTCGATGCTCAGCAACATGTTCAGCTTCATGAAGCGGGCCAATCGACTGCGCAAGGAGAAGGGCGTGGGCGAAGTGGGGGACATCTATCTGTCCGATCTGGACGCAGGCAGCATGGATCCCGAGATGGCGGCCCTCTACTTCCCCACACCCAGGTCCAAAGAGGCCTCGCCGCCGGAGGACGATGGCGAGAGTGGCAACGGCACCAGCCTGCCCCATTCGCCCAGCTCCCTGGAGGAGGGTCAGAAGAGCATTGACTCGGACTTTGACGAGACCAAGCAGCTGCAGGACAAAAAGTGAGTTTAGCCCCGAAGTAGACTCCTACTTGCATCCTTCATTTCAATTGTAACCCCTTCTCAGGTACTTGGACTTTGTGGCCATGTCCATGTGCGGAATGTCGGAGCAGGGATCAGCACCCTCGGACGAGGAGTTCGATCGCCACCTGGTCAACTATCCAGACGTGAGTATTCCCAGAATGGCCCAGCGCTATGTTCTGTGTATGTGTTTAAGTTCCATGCACTTCACTGCGCCCCCCACGCACTCCATCCCGCCTTGTTAACCAGTCTCTTCCCATGCCATGCCCTCATTTGTACCTGTGCGCAGGTGTGCAAAAGCCCCAGCATTTTCTCATCGCCTAACCTAGTCGTACGGCTGAATGGCAAATACTACACCTGGATGGCTGCATGTCCCATTGTCATGACAATGATCACCTTCCAGAAGCCACTAACCCATGTAAGTTGGCCCCAGGCCAAGGCTTTTGTGTTGCTCCATGCCTTCTTCGCATCCCGCTCTAAACATATTGTGTTTGAAATGTTCCCCAAACAGGAAGCCATCGAGCAACTGATGTCCCAGACGGTGGAGGGCAAGTGCTTGGTTGGAGACGAGAAGCAGGAAGCAGCTGCCCAGGCCGACAATGTGGGCCAGACTAAGCGCTACTGGTGGAGTTGGCGGCGCTCGCAGGACGCTGCGCCCAACCATGGGAGCAACGCTCATGGAATGCCATTGGGCAAGGATGAGAAGGGTACGTCTAATGGGATATCTTAGTCGGCGGCCAACCTAATTGTTTGAATCTCCTCCAGATGGCGATCAGGCGGCGGTGGCCACGCAAACCTCACGGCCCACCTCGCCGGACATCAGCGATCACACGCTTAGCAAGAGCGACTCGCTAGTGAACGCGGAGAACACCTCAGCACTAGTGGACAACTTGGAGGAGCTGACCATGGCCTCCAACCGGAGCGATGAGCCCAAGGAGCGCTACAAGAAGTCCCTGCGACTCAGCTCGGCGGCCATTGTGAGTCCAGAAAAGCAATCAGTTCACCAACAAGAAATATAGCGATCCTTTTGACTCCTACAGAAAAAACTAAACCTCAAGGAGGGCATGAACGAGATCGAGTTCAGCGTGACAACCGCCTATCAGGGAACGACGCGTTGCAAGTGCTACTTGTTCCGCTGGAAGCACAACGATAAGGTTGTGATCTCTGACATTGACGGCACCATCACCAGGTCGGATGTGCTGGGCCACATCCTGCCCATGGTGGGCAAGGACTGGGCGCAGCTCGGGGTGGCGCAGCTCTTCTCGAAGATCGAGCAGAACGGCTACAAGCTGCTCTACCTGTCGGCGCGAGCCATCGGCCAGAGCAGGGTGACACGCGAGTATCTCCGGTCGATCCGGCAGGGCAACGTGATGCTTCCGGACGGCCCGCTGCTGCTGAATCCCACTTCCCTGATATCGGCCTTCCACCGCGAGGTGATCGAAAAGAAGCCGGAGCAGTTCAAGATCGCCTGCCTGTCCGACATCCGCGATCTCTTCCCCGACAAGGAGCCCTTCTACGCCGGCTACGGCAATCGCATCAATGTGAGTCTGGCAGGATTATGAATGCCACCATTTTCGATTAAGTGACCAAATTAGATCTTAAGATGTAATTAAGATGGGTATATGTAATCTCGTATCATCAATTAATCGGGAATGGTTTCTCAATTACTCATTTACTTCATATACTCTCTGAGACGCGTTACTAAATCCACCCCCTTTGTATTCTTTTCCAGGACGTGTGGGCCTACCGAGCCGTCGGCATTCCCATCATGCGCATCTTCACCATCAATACCAAGGGCGAGCTGAAGCACGAGCTGACCCAAACATTCCAGTCCTCGTAAGTACCGATCCGCAAGGACCCCCTAGCCTAGTGTTAGCTCTATTTGCACATGTGTCTCCCCATGTATATGGTTCCGGTGTTGCTCATTACTGAACTCATGCCACATCCGATAACGTAAACTAATTCGCAAAACCAAAACAAACAAACAAACGCTAATTGGCTCAAGTCGAATTAACTTCATTACGTAACGCTAGGTGTTTCTAAGCTGTGTGAGTGTACTTCCTTTACTGTGTAGTATCTATCCATTGTACTACCCTAAAACGCACCCCACTCAATCAACCAATCAATCAACCGATCGAAAAGCCTGCCAAATTCAATTCAAGCATTTTGGTTGTCAAATTTACACAGTGGCTACATCAATCAGTCGCTAGAAGTCGATGAGTACTTTCCCCTGCTAACCAACCAAGACGATTTCGATTACCGGACGGACGTCTTCGACGACGAGGAGTCGGAGGACGAGTTGCAGTTCAGCGACGATTACGACGTGGACGTGGAGCACGGCCCGAGTGAGGAGAGCAGTGAGGACGAGGACGATGACGAAGGAACCCTCTACAACGATGCTTTTGCCAACGATGATGATGGCATCCAAGCGGACGCGGCCTCCGGGGACGAAGAGTCGGCCGATGTGGGCCTCATAATGCGAGTCCGTCGCGTCTCCTCCAAAAACGAGGTCATCTTGGCCTCGCCCCCCAAGTGGCTGAGTTCCTAGACATAGCTCCAGTCCTATCCCACGCCGATGGTTGTGCAGCTTAAAAATTGTGATAAGTTTTCTATGAGAGTTAGGAGTGTCCTATATATGTCTGTGCCTGATGTGCCAGGTCCGCGAGCTTCAAGTTCGCCGACCAGTTATGTTTCGAAAGTATTCTGCTCCCAGCAGGTCTTTATGTCTAGTTTTAAGAATGACAATTATATAATTTACCCAACAAAATATACCTTTATTTTCGCTGTGATGGAAATCTTTTATTTATCCGTATGTGGCATGAGTTCTGAGCTAGATCCCATAGTTGAATGTAGTTAGAGTATATACATAGATGATCTTCTATACACTGAACATTTATTTTTAAGTATGCGTGAGTATGTGACTGTATAGTTCGCGGTACATAAATTTCACTGTATTAAAAAAACGCAGTATATCCCAAGGCGACTTTTCCCGGTTACAAAGTTTCTCGAAACTTTATTGCATACCCACGGGCTGCTGCCGATGGGGGGATTGTAGCATAGCCAAAGGCGTTGGCCTTTAATGTATCTTGTGATCTCATATTACTGCTTTATTCTTCCAGATACTGCAGCATGACGTACATTGTCGACCAACTGTTCCCGCCGGTGAAACACGACGAAGCCTCCGCCGAGTTCTCCAACTTCAACTACTGGCGCGACCCCATCCCCGACCTGGAGATCCCCGAACTGGAGACGGCACTGGTGCCACCCAGCAGCAAGGTGGAGACGACCACCCTGCGACCCATTCCCGAGCAGTGAACTGGTTCCTTAGCACCCTAACTATACTATAACCATATTTATACGGATACGCAACAAACTCTATATAGCAGATAGCGCTTTTCAGATTTGTTTGCTTAGCTTCAAACCCTCTAGATGTGCTTACCAAAAATGAAATATCTATAACTTTGCATAAGCTTAGCCAGGATTCGCTATTGCCTTGGTTTCATTATCATTTACATTTCGATCGTTTCTAGTTGAATGGTTGGACTTAAGTTGTAATCAAAATTGAGTTTTATTATTACTATAGTTAGTTCCTTTGAGACTCCTGCAGGTTCTTAGAAGATGCATATTCCAAACGGCGTATGGGAGTTGTGATTTTCGATTTCATTATTTTTCGTATGTGATCATTTAAATTTAGTTCATTGTGATGAGGTTTTTATTTGGAGTTTTTATGAAAACTGTGCTTTAGACCTATGTATACTTAACTATAGTGTTTCAACACAAATAAATGCTTCGAATTCAAAGAAAGCCGAGATAAACACGTCTCTGTTTGTTATTGGAAAAGCACCTGTCTGGCTGGTTGTATATGATATATACAAATATTTGAGTGGACTTCGGATGGTACTCAATTCCCATGGGGCCACTCATGTTGCAGTGGAAAATTCTCGTATGTGGCAGCAAAAATCGGCGGGCTGGGGGCACATCTATGACATCCCAGGGTGGGGTGTGCGTTGGCGGGGGAGTATTTCATTTGTCAACGTAATTTTGCCAATTCAATTAATGCTCATTTAATGCAGAGCAGACCGACCGGCCGTACAGCATACACATTGGCGTACAAAGGCCCACGGACAACGAAGTGGGCAGTTTAAGTGACCACAAATGGTCGGTCATCCAAACTCAGTGGCAGATCAACAATGACTTTTTCTAGGGGGCCGAACTCTCCCGAAATAGGGGAACCTTAAAAAGAGATTTTGTACAAGTGTGTTAAAACACTAGATATAAGCTAATCGTTTCCAGTTTTGTCATTGCCTGAAAACAAATAAAAACGATTCGTTTTACTATTTCGTACTTCTAGTCCTAATGTGAATTAATTTAAATTGCTAAACTATTTCAGATGAGTTCATATATTTTAATATTTTCCAATCTAAGCAGAAGAAGTTTTCTATGTGGCCTTTAAGAACGTTAATTATCTTTATATTTTCTTTAAAAAAAAATTAAAAACACTATCTCATCCAAACTTCTTTGATTTAAATTTCTCTATAACCCTTTCAGAATTTAATACGCATTCTCTAAAAAAATGTTGATCTCCTTAAACCCTTCGCCATATACCCCACCCATGCGAAGCGCATTTATGTATAGTTTATAGACGTCGCTGCGGCCCCTCCAGACAAACGATGGAAATTTAAAAAGATTTAGCTGTTTATGTTAATAATGCATCAACTGAAATCTAAATCAGCTGATCCACCGCATGATGGTGTTTATTCAAGGCGACTGATTATAAATTATAGAACACCATTTTAAAACAGGCAAGGAAGCTAGCTTTACCAAGTCGAAGTTTATATACCCTTGCAGCTAAAACAACATCCCACAGAATCCGCTTAAAACTAATAAAAGCGGAAAATTTGTATATAAGAAATCTAAATGATTTTATTGGATTTTTAAATCGTATATTATGATACTTCAGGTACATTATATAAAGAAAAAAAGAACGGGGGTACTACCATTCTGTTCTTTCAATTGTCCGAGATTTCCTATGGGAGCTATTAGATATAGTTGTTCAAAACAGCCCATTCCGATTTATGTATTACTTCCAAAAGAAAGTTTTAAGAAAGCTTTATGTGAAAAGATATTTAGCTTGGAAAAAATTAATGTTTTTATGAGCGCTACTCAGTAGTTTGGCTCAGAATCAGTTTTTACAAATAGCTTAATGAACAAGTAAAATGTTAATCATCAAAAATTATGTTTAGCAAGAATGATAATCGAAAGTCTTAAAAAGCAAATTATCAAGATAGGAGACATTTTCTCACTGATGATTAAGGATATACGACAAAGAATAAAGTTCTATCTATAACTGGATAATCTCAGCAACCTCGAGACTATCAAAAATTTCCATAATGAGATTTAAATTACAGCCAGCGAGTGCAACTCAATTGAGCGACACTCAAAATCGCCCCACAATTGAGTGCGACATACCCACATGGAGCAGTGCTCGAAGGTATAAAAGCGGGAGCAGCCCAGACCACAGCCAACAGTTCCCATTGAGCGATCACTTCGAGCAACCCTCTCAGAAAGCAAAAAAAAGTCCAATTCCAGTATGAAGAACGCTGTTGCCATCCTGCTGTGCGCCCTCCTGGGTCTGGTGAGTATAACTATGGAGACCCCACTGGCAGCCAGTAATCTTCTTGTTCCCTGCAGGCCTCCGCCGCCGAGTACAAGATCCGTACCGCAGAGGATCTGCAGAACGCGCGCAAGGAGTGCGCCGCCAGCAGCAAGGTGACCGAAGCCCTGATCGCCAAGTACAAGACCTTCGATTACCCCGACGATGACATCACCCGCAACTACATTCAGTGCATCTTCGTCAAGTTCGACCTGTTCGACGAGACCAAGGGCTTCAAGGTGGACCACCTGGTGGCCCAGTTGGGCCAGGGCAAGGAGGACAAGAACGCGCTGAAGGCCGACATCGAGAAGTGCGCCGACAAGAACGAGCAGAAGTCGCCCGCCAACGCCTGGGCCTTCCGCGGCTTCAAGTGCTTCCTGGGCAAGAACCTGCCCCTGGTGCAGGCCGCCGTCCAGAAGAACTAGGATGGTGCGCAGTTTCACGTCAATTCTAGAACCGCAAGAACAAATCGCCAACAAGGCGGAATTTCCGAGTGACTCCGCTCAGGCTCTGCAATCCTACAATTGAAATAAAACCATATAATAGTGCTTGAAGGAAGATTGTTCTTTTTATTTCGCTGCCACACACGCATAGTTTTAAATCTGCTGGGCTGGAAGAGGCTTCATCCGTGGGGGCAGCTTGACATCGCATCCTCAATCCCAAAACCTTGTCCCGCCCAAAGGAAAGGCATTGATAGCTTGTTTAATTCGATTATATTTGTCATCATCTTTTTCAGTTCAGTAAAATTCAACTTCTTTTCTTTACTCTATATATTTTTTTGAATATATAAATTACGCAATTTTTTATCTATTTTGTTGATTTACTTCTTTCCCAAGAGTCTTGTGTTCTTTTGATTTTTTTTATTATTTTCTTCCTTTTACTTGATTTTGCCATCTTTTAACTTCTTTTATTATGGTTTGTGGTTTTCTTTTGCGTTTCTTTTATATATATTTATTGATATATATTTTTTTGGTTTTCTAAATCAACTTCTTGTTTTTCATATTCTTTTTTGATTTTTTATTTGAAACTTAAAATGTGTGAAAAAGGGGTGTTTGGTGTTGGGTGCTTCAAAAAACATTATAGCCAAGTCAAGATATTCGTTTTTCCATGTTGATTTTTTATTATTTTCGAAGTCTCTTCTTTTTCGCCTGTTTTCTTGCTGGGGACGCATTTTTTATTGACACGATATTTTTTCTGGCGTTTTCTCTTGTGATTGTTTTCTCTTTATTCTTTTTATTTAGCAAAGAAGTTTGGCAATAAAATAATGTTTTTTGAAATAATATTGTAAAAAAATCTGAAATCAAATAGTTATTGGATTAAAGAAGAGTGTCGGTAAATTAAATGAAGGCGTTATTATTCGTCCCAAAACGATGCGGATGAAAGACAAGGCATTCACTTGAAGGGAACAGAAAATCAGTCAGTCTTGTTCCTCGAATAAAATATCTTTGGTTCCCCATTAATTAACTATCCAGCTGCGCCCCAAAAATATTAATTCTAAAACTAGCAGATATCACTAACTCGAAAAGTACGATTTATGGTTTTTAAACTTGAGATTCAGTCCCCAATGAGTACAAGTGTGTTGAATTGGGAAGACAAACGTTATGAAGATATCGATTTATATTTTTAAGTTAGCTTACTAAAAGCATCATTGAAAAGTTGACTTAATCCTATTTAATTTATTTGGCGTCTATCCATTATTTTTCTTTAAAAGCTATCCTTTCTCTAAATATAAATTATGCAGATAGATGAACTCAACCCCGTAAATCGAACCCCAAAAATAAAAACCAGTTTCAGGTAGATAGCAAGCAGTCTCGTTCGTTTGGGTTTTTAGGAGATGATTTTGAAATTGTGAGCTTACCTTACTAGGGTTTTAATAAAACAATAATCAATATGGAGCGTAGTAATTGGCGCGTCCACGGTAACCCCTTCTGAAACGAAAGACAGACCGGGATTAGCTGGATCCAATCGGGATTGACCAGGGCCCACTTACATTGCGCGTCGTGCGCCTCGGAAGGTGGAGTGACAGCACGCCCGGGAGACACGGGCTCCTCGTCCCCGGAAGCTGCCGCGTGCAAAGCGGTTTGTGGTAGAGAGGCCAGGGCGGTTTGTGCGCTTCGACATTACCTGCAGATCAATGCACAAGAGTTATTTATGATACTTTTTCAGTCAAGCACCCTGTCAATTACCCGCTACTTACAGGATTTTTATTAAATATAAGCCCTACTTATAAAAATGTGGTAATGCTTCTGGGTATAGTTTGATGTGTTTCAATTTGAGGCTGTATATTTCGAATGTGTCTTCTTTTTGTACCAAAATCTGGTCTCAGTGGGCATATGAATCTAATTTCTCAAGCTCTTAAAACTATGTGTCTACTTTTAAAAAAAAGTTGGTACCAAAAACTGCTCTCCGTGGGCATCAGAATCTAAATTTTCCACCTCTCGTAACTATGTGTCTATTACAAAAAATTTGGTACCAAGAACTCTTAATGGTCATCAGAATCTAAATTCTCACTCTTATGACTCCGAACATCTTGATTACATAAGTATAGGCCCAAACACTAGGAAGAATTTGAAAATTGATAAGGGTTAGACTAGGCTTTTACGCAAAGCACAGCAATATAAACGGTCCAACTGATTTAAATTAAGCTGACTTGATATTAAGGATACAAATTCAAAAAAGAAAGCCTATTCTATCATTTTAACCCCATAAGTAGCCGGTATATGAAGATCAATTTGCTCTTGATATGCACCTTGATTTGACGCCCTCGAAAGAGGGTTTCATTCATGGCCAGGGCCGTCTCGACGAACTCCTTCGATCCGAACTCGATGTACGCGAATCCCTTTGGATGGCCGTCAGCCTTGTTGCAGAGTATGGTGACGCGGTTGATGGTGCCACAGCCATGGAAGTGGGCTTCCAGTTCCTCGGCCGATGCGCCGTAATCCACATTGCCCACGTAGACGGACCGCGTGTCGATCTCCTGTTTTTCCTCGAGGGAAAGCGGGACGGTGGCCAAACCGGTGGTGGACCCACCGGCCATTTGTTTGTCCACCTCCGACTGCATCTGCTTGATCTTCTCGGCCTCCTCCTCCATCTCCTTGACGCGCGCCTTGATGGCCTCCAGTTCGGGGTCGATTTGCATGCTGCCCTCCTCCTGGCGGCGCGGAAAGACGGGATTGAATGGAAATCGGATCGGATTGGTGGGTAAACGCCCAAGAAGCACGGCAGACAATGGACAATGGAGTGGTGATGCGAAGCGACGCTTTGAAAATGGCAGCCATTGCTGCGGCTCTCGGCTTTCGCCTTTGTATATCCCCCAAAAGCTCGGCGAGCTTTTCCAGGGAATCGGCGGGCTTTCGCAGGGCGGGCCAAGAAACTGGTTTTTGGCCATGGCCACCGCTTCGCATCGCCTTGCATCACCAACCGGGCCTCTCAACTCACCTCGTTCTCTGTGGTAATCTCAGTCTCCTGCTCACCGTTCGTCTCTTCCAAGGACTCCAGGAGCTGGTCCTCGTTCAGTGTGATATCCTCATCGGCCATGGTTTCGCTTTTGGTTTTGTTTACGTTTACGTCGGCTGCAAAAGCTCGGTTCTGGTGGCGCGTAAGCTTCCGGCGGGGGTCCGAAGAACGGCAGTTGTCGTAGCTAACTGTCAATGAAAAAGGGCGGCGAAAGTGAGCAAAAGAGAGTTCATGGCGTAAAGAGAGCGAATGAAGAGAGCCAGTATGCTAATGCAGTGAAAATATTGGCATTCCAGTCAATCCAAGTGATTTGAGGTTGGTCGGGGAAAGCCATTAGCTTCTGGTTCAAATTCACTTTTCCCTGGTATATTCCATTTAACCCACTATTCTTACGTTAAAAATATGTACAAAGAGGGTGCTCGCTCTGCTGACGTTGAGTTCGCCCAAAATGGCCGCTGCGTCGTGGAAAGCACACGTACTTTAAATTACTCTTTTTCCGGTGGAAAGTCCACCTTTCTGCAGCCTACTCAGTGTGATTGCACGCCAGACCACGTCGGCACTTAATTTTAGTGTTTATTAAAGACTAATATTTACAATAATACGAGAACACACGTAAAATTTGCCACCGTTTGTATTCGCCTCGTTTCTAGGGATGACAGTTCGGTACAGTTTTAGCCCCGATGTTTTTTTGGTGTTGATGTTGTGCTATCGATAACTTACGGTGACATGTACTGAACTGTGTTACTTATGTGCTCTTCACACTGCACTGCCTCTTAACATCGCAACCGATCAAATCATGTTGTGAAGAGTTCATGCATGCACTCTTTTGAAAAATAATCTTGTTAAAATAAAAATGGGTATTAAACCTTTAAAACCCACTCTTAGTTTTAAAACAGCAGGGTAACGATCTCCCAGTTGTGCCACAACACGACATTTCTGCATCCTTCTTAACGCTGCTGCTGTTGCGGCACCAGTGTGAACCAGCCTTGCATTTTGGAGTACTTCATGTACAAACCTCGTAAATGAAAATATTCCCGGTACTAATCCCACGGTAAAGAACCAGGAGGAGCATGTCCGATTCTGAGTACGAGGAGACAGAGTACCTAGTATTCGGGGATTTTAAAAACCACGTTCAGGTACTCCAAACACAGTACTGGCACCCAACTACAACTCTTAATAACTAACTAAAATTATGATTTTATTATTTACTTGAAGCCGTTCCAGCTGAACCACGAGGACGCGGCCATTAAGGTCATCGGAATCGAGAGCGATGCGCCCATGGCGGAGGTGAATGGCAGTATCTACCGGGGACGCTACGAACATTCCGTGGGAACCAACGTGTTCTTCGAGAAGGAGAAGGACAACCTGGCCAGCGATCCGCTCTTTGAGTCCGTGTGTCGCCAGCGGTACCAGTACGTGGACAAGTCCTCCAAGGTGATATCCTTTGAGCGAGTCTACGTCGACAACTTGCACCAGGAGGCCGAGAAGTCTAGTAAAGCCGAGGAGGACGAACAGACGGAGGCCAAGCCGGAATCGCTAAAGTTAAATATTACCTACAAGGAGGCGATTAACAAGTTCGGAGAGGAGCATTAGGTGGAGTGAGCTGAACGAAATCCGCAAAATAATTCCAATCACTCTTAGCATCATGGAGAGAGTCTGTACGGCGACGGAACCGGCTTTAAACCTTCGGGATTTTCTAGCCCAATATCAGAAAAAACTATTTGGGTCCGCGGACGATGTGCCCTTCTACCTACAAACCAACCCCGTCCTTGTTGACGTGGGTGAGAGCTGTTCCCTGGACTTGATAGAGTCGCCAGATGACAGCTCGATTGCAGTCTTCCAGCCCGGTACAGACCAATTTCGTCCAAACTTTGTCCAGCCCCCGGGGGATCAGCATGTGCCCTCCACTTTTTTGGCCTTGACTCAACACAAAGCTAAGTCACGCAAATGTGCCTTTGGGCGAACCCAGTACACCCACAAGCTGAATCCACCGCCGAAGGACTGCCCCGATCTCCAGCTGGATACCTGCGAGCTGGAGCTAACCGTACGTCTCTACCGACCACCGCGGGCCTACCACCGAGGATTCAAGGTGGAGATCCCCGTGTTCGCAGAGGAGTACGTCTGTCTGGGCACCAACTATCTGACCGAGCTGCGCGATAAGATCAGCTGCGTTTGTCGTGGCAAACGGTTCGTCGACATCAGCCACGATCCGGATGCTCCGTTGCCCACTATCGACACTAATCCGGGGTACTTCTTCATCAACGACACTTTCTACAATGACAAACGCAATCCGAACAATCCCGACTATTCGCAAACCGTATTAAAGTGGGCAGCCAGAGCAAATGGAGTGAATGGAGAAACGCTTAAAGTGGAGAATATGGAGGGCAAAAGATTCATCGATCTAACCGTCAGTCCGGGCTCGCCGCTGCACTACCTGCATCACGGCAATTGCGAGCACCTGTTTGTGATCTCACAGATCGAGGTACTAACGCCGCGCAGTAAACGCCCAGATCGCAGTCTTTATCCCTATCCTCACGCCTTCAGCACCTTCAATCGCAGGACCTGCTATATGTGCGGCATTCGCAGCTATAGCTTCATTGTAGAGCAGTCCCGTCGACAGCTGCACGATCCCTCTTACCTGTGCCGCAGTTGCTTCCTCAGTTTTTTCTACGTGGATGGTGTAAAGGTAGGTCAGTTCAAGGCCTATCGCGTATACGACCACGCGGAGGATGAGGAGGAGCGTAAAGAAGGTGAGGTGGTCGTATTAGATTAGTCAACATTTTGGAACTTCATGAAAAATTCAGTTTTTATCTGCAAGGCATGTTTGGACATAAGAGTTCAAATCCCTAAATTATTTATAGGGAAAAGAAATGCTTCCCGGAATTTTTTGTAAAATAGTCTTTTAACTTTACCAAATAATGTACTGACTTATACTCCCCGTATAAGAATAATAAACAGAGTAGACTTTAGACGTGATGCTTGCTTTATTTGCGAACTTCATTGACTGCAAGATCGCTCAATGAGTTGATTGATATTTTATTCTTGTAAAATATTCGTAGATAGATTTAAATAAAATACATACACATTGCAACAAGAGTAATTGGCATTGAACAGATTCGATTGCCGTAAAGCTGCCTAAATTCCATGCAATCTAGATTAGCAAAAAGTTAGTGTCCAAGTTAGGAATACAAAAATGCGAACAACGTAAATAGTACAATACATCTGGCTTAGGACTAACGTTAATACATATACATATGCAATAGTTCGATTTTTACAAAAATGTAAGGATTCGCGCACTGCGTTTAGAGTTTAGACTTGACCAAGACCCATGGAAAACAAACCAATAGACTAATTATGGCCAATAACAGAGTTTTATCCTAGACAAAATACTAGTACTAGTGGTACTTAGCAGTACAATACAGTAAAAACTTGCGCACTGGGATTCCGGCGTGCACGTGGTGAGAGATTGTGCGCTTAGTTACTGGGGCGTAGAAATGCATCAAAAACATATTGCCAATCCGACCAACAAATATCATTACGAGTAACTGCAGGCTGGGAATCGATTCGCCCGGATCTCTTTGGTGTACGCGCTTGCGTTTACTTCCATGTTAAAGCTTTGACCAGCTGGTGCTCAGCGGCGGAGGCGGGCGCCTAGCTCTGAAACACCAGCTCCCGCTCCACCGACAAGTACTCCAGCATCTGCGCCGGCACTGGCAGCTGCGCCAGCTGCTCGCGCGACATCTGGCGCTGCAGAACGCGGCGGCACAGGTCCTGCAGCTTGGGCATGTTGGCGTACCGGCTCAGCGGGTACTTGAGAATCACCGGAAACGGCGGCTGCATCTCGTTGGGGACCTTCACAAAGCACACAAAGTTGTCGTTGGTGCAGCGGTGCAAGATGTCCTCGATCATCTCCACAATCGACTCGTACTTGAGCTCCTCGAAGTGCCAGAAGTCCTCTCTGAACTCCAGCCGATAGTGCAGAGTTACGTTTACAATCCGGAAGCTCAGTGTGAACTGGGATCCGCTGGTCTCCGAGTCGCGGACCAGGAACGACCCAGTCGGCTTGTCACTCAACTGACGCTGCGAATCGCGCCTGGAGATTTCGCCCCAGTACCACACTTGGCTGAAAACAAAGGAAATGAGTCACCAATCGTTGACCGTTCGAGAAAGACGTCGCTTACTTGATCATCTCGGAGCAGGCCTTGTACATGACCTGGTTGGGCGAGTGGGCGTCCTCTCGCTCCAGCCACTTCTTCCGGATGAATCGCAAATAGTCGTGCGTGAATGGCAGCGTGGGTTCCGGGCAGATGGCCGGCGTGAGGAACTCGTAGGTGGCATCCGTGGTCCCACCGTCGTCGCAGTCGCCCATCGAGTGCCAATTGCGCAGTGAGCTAAGTCCCTGGCCCACCTTTCTGCGGAGTCTGGCAAACACGTTCCGCTTCTCCTTGTCCTTGTCCCGCCGCCTGCGCAGGGTTCCCGTGCTCGTGCCCCCATTGCTGCAGCTGGCCATGGAAGAGTCCGCTGCCTCAAGGACGCACACTTCGTTGTTGTTGTTTTGGGATCCACTGCTGGACGCGGATGCGGACACAGCCAGCGCCGAGTCGGACTTCTTGCGCCTGGTCAGCGAGTGGAACCATCCCTTCTTCTCCTTCTCCCTGTCCTTGCTGGAGTCGCCTCCGCCAGCGCGCTCCTGGCTGCTGTGGTTGTGACTCTGTTCGCCGTGGCTCATTTTGGAGTGGGATCGGAACGGAACGGCTTCCTCGTGGCGGAATCACATCATTGATCTAATTCGGAGCCGTGATTAATGCCAAACTGTATTGATAAGAACTTTGTTTTCGTTGGTAGAGTACACAAGAAGTGCCTTATCGTTATCGGTCGTGCATATGTACCTCGTTGCTATCGATAACTCAAGGGGTTTTTGATTGCTAGCTTTTGGCAAGATTTTTTTTATTTTATTATTATAGGAAGTTCGTCATTGTTGTTTTGCTTCGTCGCGGGCCTTGATTAATTAAACAAAAGATATATTGGGGGTTACGAAAATAAAAACATCGATTGAACGATAGCGAAATCGAATTTAGTCCACCTCCAGCCTAGTAGGCGCATTTTTAATTGGGGAATTTATTGCAAACAACTCCCTTGTCGAAACATGCACCACTCCAGCATGAAGGTGGATCTGTCCAACTTCTTCAAGGACGAACGCCGGCAGTCGTTAGTTTTCATCGATGCAACATGGCAAAATATCAAGGACGTTCAGGATCATATTCAAAACCTCTTCAGTTTGGTATGTCCTCAAGGAATTTGTGTGATTTTAATCAAGATAAAATTGTCTCCTGCAGAAGGACATTAGCCTTCTAACCACAGATGGATGTTTTCTGCCCCCGAGGGAATCCATTAAAGTACTTAAAGCTGCCGATGGACTAAAGTGGGTGAACTATGTAACTCCGTTCCGCGAGGAAAAACTAAACTATTTAATCTCTTCCAGGGCATTTCGGTTCGCCAATAGTGACCAGGGTACCTTTGTAAGTCCTGCTCCTGTGAAATCCACCAAAAAGCGCAAGAATCGTTCCGCCGAAGAAGGCGTTCACCTAGATGCCTCCACACCCCTCCGCCCATCAAAGCGCTCCAAAAATCAAGGCGACAATAAGTGGATCGAAAATTCGGCAGAAATATCTCTTGTAAAAGGAGACGAGAAGGAAAAGGACACTCCTGGACCTTCTGTGGAGTCAAAGCGATCTAAAAACAAAGGCCAAAACAAAAAAACGACTGAATCTGAGACAATTTTATATGCGACAGAGGAGGTCGTGGCAGCGAATAAGAAGAAGCGTTCCCAAAACAAGAACCACCATAAAGCGCCTGATGCTCCTGCGGAAACACTTCATTTGACAGCCGCACTGCAGGAGGATGGGACACCTGCTCCTGCGAGTACACCGAGTAGCACTCTCATGGAGACAAAAATGTCCAAAAACAAGAGTCACGCAAAATCGCATAAGTTCTTTGAGGCAGACAAACCTACTGAGATGGAGGAAGGCGAAGTGGAGGAACCAGCTGGTCCGGGATCTCCTGAAAGTCCGTCGGAAACATCCCGTTTAACAGATTTGGATCAGAACAAGCAGAGCCCCAAGAAGCTAAAAGATTCCAAAAACAATGACCGCCCGAAACATTCTGCCATTTCTGACAATACTGCGAAACTGGAATCGGAGGCCTCTCCTCGTCCCTCCGTTACGTTTCGTTGCCCTCTCTTGGAGCTGGACTCCAATGTTCCACGCATATTCGAATTTCCTAAAAAAAAAAACGAGGTCCAAATTCTAGAAAATATAATAATTAAGCCCAATGACTTCAACCCAGATGCAGTCAACGGGAAAAAATCACCAACATTAATGTTCGAATCTAAAAACTTACAAGATGATGCGCTAGAAAAAGTAGGCCTTGCATCCTTACATGTTGAAGCTGAAGAGACTCTTCCAGAAGAAACGACTGGTGAAGCAACCCTGCCCAAAGATGCAACTGAAATCGAAACTACTTTGCCAGAGGACGCAATCGAAGCGGAAACATTTCTTCCAGAAGACTCAATAGAAGCTGAAATCGAAACTACTCTGCCAGAGGACGCAATCGAAGCGGGAACTTTTCTTCCAGAGGACTCAATAGAAGCTGAAACCGCTTTTGCAGGCAATTTGACTGAAGTTGAATCAGCCTTTTCAGGCAATTTGACAGAAGCTGAAACAGCTTTTCCAAGCAATTTGACTGAAGCTGAAGCAACCCTTCCGGGCGAAACCAGCGAAGTTGATGCAACTCAACCTGAAGAATCTACTGAAGCCGAATCAATTCTACCGGACGACACAACTGAACCCGATGGAACTCTTCCAGCAGACACAACGAAAGACGGAAACGTTCTGGAAGACGAAGCCGAGATATCAAAGATTAAAAATGAAGTCCATTCTGATGATATAAGACACTCACCAGTGCGCATTTGTGCAGAAAGTTTAATCTCAGATTCCGATGACGACGTAATGGTTGTAGATGACTCTAATATGGATGTTTCAGACTTAGATTCTGATGTAGAGTCAGTCCAGGGTAAGAGCACTAAATTAATTAATTAATAATTACATATAAGTAAAATTCATTTATTAGTCCCGAAGGATAGAGACACCTTAGATATTATAATGGACCTCCTGCAGAGTGCACATCCTCTAAACAATCTGCCGACCAGAGGCGATACGGTCCTGTTTAAGCTGCATAAGATCAAGGGAAACGAAAGATCCGGGACAACCGAGTTTATTGCCGGAAACTGTGCCTACGTCAACCGCCGTACCAAAGTCATTACAGTGGAGACCATCAGTAAGTCACCATAATTCCAGATTACAACTTTAAACCTAACATTCAATTCGTTTTCAGCCTGTCCCTCTGGAATCGGACGTGTATTGAACCAATATTGTGCGAAGGGCTTAGACGAATCTTCTGAAAATGTGGGATCTTTAAGTGTTCAATTTAGAGACATGATAGAGGCAAAAATCGTTGTAGCCACAATCGACTGATAATGTGTACATTCTTGTTTTCTATTTCCAGGTGTTCGTATTTGTATGGTATTTAAAGTATAAACGATTAAACAACATTTAGATGTACGAATTCATGTTTTAGCTGTCTATCTCTACTTGATGTGCTCCTTGATCTTCTTCAGTAAGTCGTCTGCCTCGTCACCGGTCTTTACGCGCAGCAGCAGCGATGTGGCCTTGCTGTCCTCCGGCGTGGGCACGCAGACCATCATCACGTTGTTCTTGCCCATGCGCTGGCAGGGTATTCCCTCGCTTAAAATGAGGTTGACCAGGATGTTGCCCAGATTAGTGTCTGCGCGCACTAGGAGCTGGGTCTTCTCAGAGTCCTTGACCGGTTTCAAGTACAACGTGCCCACGCCCCGGTCGCCAAAGTCCTTGTCTTTTTTAATGAAAACCTTACACCTTTTCGAGTAGACAGCATCATCCTCTACGACCTGATTGGAGACAAGAGTCAAGTTACCGTTCAGCAACTAATCATTATGAAATCCAATTACCTGTTTGAACTCAACTTTTGGCGGCTTGTCCTCTTCATCCTCCGCTTCTTCATTGGCTGGTGCTGCTGCTGGCGGTTGAATGTTTCCGAAGGAAAAGGGCTTGGCACTGCTGTTGAAGAAGAATCCCTTTGATGCATCTCCTCCGCCTACTTCAGGTGCTTTTCCGAAGCCTGCGAATAACGAGGTGCTTGGCTTGTCGTCGCTGTTGCTCTTTATTCCGAAGCTAAAGCCATTTGTCTTCGGTGGCGAAAACAAGGGCTCGTCCTTTTTGGTGGTAGTATCTTTCGCTCCGAAACTAAAGATGCTGGACTTAGGGGCGTCTTCGACCTTGGATTCTCCAGCTGGCTTTGGTGCCAAACTAAAGATACTGGCGGAAGTCGACACCGGAGCACTGGAAGCTGCCGTACTCCCGAAGGAGAACATCGGTGTTGTGGTTGTGGTGGTTGTGCCGCCACTGGTTACGGTGCAGTTGGGCTTCTTGGCGAAGGGCGATGTGGTGCCGCCTATCGGGGTGCTGGGCTTTCCGAAGGAAAACGTGGAAGTCGGCTTCGATGGCGACGATGTACTGGGCACTACAGCAGCTGGCACTCCAAAACTGGGCAGTGGGGGCGTAGTCTTCGTGCTGTTTGTTCTGGCGCTCTCCTCGTCCTGCAGCTCCTTCAGGTGCTTCTCGTAGTTCTTGAACACTGGCGTCAGTATGCAATAGGGACTCTTGTCCATGTTCTCCTGCAGGAACTTCATGACTGCCCGGTTCAGCTCGGCCACGCTTTCCCGGTACTCGGAGGTCTCCAAGTTGGAGTTGGAGGTGGTGCTCGCTGGCTTGCTGCTACTGCTGGCCACCGACGTCTTGGGCTCGCTGCTTTCCTTTTTGGCCTCTGATATGTTGCCAAAAATCGAATAGGTCGACTTGGCGCCATCGGTGGTACTTGTTGATTCCTTGGCCGCAGAAGAGAACGGGACCGAGCTGCTGGTGCTGGCTGTGCCGAAAATGCTAGTGCTGGCCGGCTTGTCCGTCGCACTGGAGCTGAGCCCAAAGGAGAATGAGGGCTTGGCTGGCTCGCTAGTGGAGGAGGAGGAGGAGGCCTTACTAGTGGTGGCTGCTGGAGCTGACAGATTGGCGAGGAAGGTGAACGGCGAGGCCGCTGCTGCGATTGTAGCCGGCTTTCCGAAACCTGAAAGGAAAAGAAGTGTTAAAAAACAATAGATCCAGAATCGACCAAAAACCCACCGGTGAATCCGCTAAACACGCTCTTGGACTCCGCCGGCGTGACCTCGGCGCCATCCTCGCCAGCGGCGGAGGATCCACCGGCAATCTTGCGGCGCGCCTTCTTGATAACGCGTGTCTTCAGCTCCTGCTCGCTGGCCGTGCGGAAGGTGCCGCGCTCCTCGGGCTCCTCCTCCTGGTCCCAGTTGTCGTGGTTCAGGTTCGAGGTGGCCTGTCGCTTGCCAGCCATCTTAATGGAGTTATTCAATTTCAAAGAATCCCAGTGAAAATGCAGAAAAGCAAACGAAATCCACACCGCGTTGCCTGCCAGTCGATAAGTGCTATCGGACACTCTGTTGTCGAGCGCGGCTGTGAGCGACTGGCTATCGATGGCCGATGACGGCGTTCGCCTATCGATAGGGCAACAACAACACCCACTGTACGCAGCGAGACGCCAGCAGCACAAAATCGCAATAAAACAAAAGTATTAAATCACGCCTAAAGTTAGAGTCGGGTCGACCATGTCCAGTGCCGCGAGTCCCAGTCCTAGTCGAGTGCGTTCCTGATCCTGCCATGCTTCGCGCGACTTCTGGACCCGCCGCCCGGGCACTGCGCACTTCCCCCAGAATCGGATTCAGCCAGCGTTAATTGTGCAGCAGCAGCGCGAGTGACTGAGTGTGCCAGTACCAAAAAGGCAGAAAAGCGAAAAGCAAAATCCAAATCGCGAGAGGATGATGAGAACGCCAGTGCGTGGATATATGGATATAGATATAGATATAGTGCCAGGGAAAGTGCGACGAGCAGCAACACAAGTCGGGAGTGAACAAAGGCGTAAAAACACGTACAGTGCATAGAGATAGAGGCGTTATCCTGCCAGAGGCGTTCGCAGCTATTCGCCGTCCCGCTCCCTCTCCCATTTGTGCTCCCGTGCCACGGCCTTGGGCCTGAGCTGGTGTGCGTGCGAACCGCGTGTGTGTGAGTGCGAGTGCGTGTGAGTGAGGGATACGTGTATATCAGGACTTCGTGATATCAGGACATCCTGAGCAAAATGCCGCCATCCCTGATTGCCGTGTCCGAGTTCGTGGAGGAGACGCGCTCCGACTACAGCTCGCCCACCACCTCCACCTTCGCCTCCCGGATGCCCGACTGCCGCCACACGATTGGCGTTCTCGAAGAGGTGAGTGTCGCCCAAGTAATTCCCAGGTCTACATGTCACTCAGGTAGTTAGGATCTATATCGATTCATACGCCCATCGCCCTATACACAATCAAAACAACAGTTCAAGGTGGCCGATGAGCATTTCGCAGGTGTGTTCCGGGAATCCCAAACATAGATGTACACATCTAGTATTCCCTGGCTGTGCAATTCACATTTTGGCTTGAAGTACATACTATATATGCAATTAAACTTACCGCTCAGCAATTAAAGTATCAATTCAAGTCGCTCATATAGGCACCCCTATTCCGGGGTTTTCTATTAATTTACGTGTACTGTCCTGAAGTAAAAACGTTCAGCAACTAAGGGAAAAAACTAAGGGATACTTATATAAAATAAATATACATAGTGGTTATTTATAGGGACTTTGTTGAACCGATGAATAATTTATTTGTAAGAGGAATGACGTTGTTCAGATAACTTCCAAGAGTTCAAAGAAGCATTCATTTTGTGGTTTTCAAACACTTAACATTACTTTATATATATATATATATATACATATAATGACTTCCTTGTTGAGGAGTAATCTAGTTTTTGCATAAAGAAAAATCCGTTTCGATACTTTCTTTTTGTATTTTAAAAAACGAATTTTACAGAAACACAGCCTTTTCCTGTTATTTTATTATCTTTGAGGATTGGGTTAAGTATGACTAAATTAAATATCATTAAAAAATTCTTAGTTGGCACATTATGTACAATCTTGGTAAAGGTATGCACATTTTTTGAATTTTGAATCAAAAATGTTGACTAACTGACTGGATTTATTATAACAAGTAATGGCAACCTTGAGGAAAGAGAGTACATTTTATAAATTTATATATTTAAATCATGTTTTGGATGCCATGAATCAAGGGTCAAGGGTTTTAACTTCAATTCCAGTTCGTATTTTCTGGATATTTCCTAACTTAGTGCAATTTAATCGAAATCCGTGAAAGTGAAAACCGGAGCATGACTAGGTATAGAGCCGTGCCGTACTGCAGCAAACGTGGTAGACGACGCCCCCTGCAAAACGATGATGATTATTATTTGCACAGGGGAAGTAGCAGAAAGATTTGTAAATTGGCGCGGCGCCAAAATGAGCCACCGCCTGTTATTTTAATGCGGTCTCTCTCACCAGCTTTCGCTCTCTCTCTCTCTTTCTTTCTACCCGCAAGGTGGTTTTCTCGATTCCATAAAAATAGTGTTATGAAAATACAAAGTGCATTCCGGGCTATAGTATCAATGCAGATGAAGCTAGGGGAGCGGGGAAGTGGGAGTGGTTGCCACATGAGCATGCTGCAATTTCTATATTTACTCAAGGCAGCTGTTGTGATGTCGCTTTTCAGATATATATATATAGTACGCACACCCCGTCCGCCCTCTGATAAAGCTAAGCACACAAAGAACACTGTACGGCCGGAAAGAGGGTTCTGATAAGAAAGGCGAAACTATTCCCGTGCGGACTCTAAGTAAGTCTGGGATAGCGCCCACAGAAATCGCTGACTGCCTAAGTGGGAAACTCATTCATTTTGTCACTAGAAGAGATTCTAGAGTGTCCCGATTGTGCAATATACATCTATATCTGTATAATGCTCCAATTCCCCGGCGAATGCAGCGCCCAGCTGAACAAAATTAGACGATTTATTGGGCACGTCACTCCCACTTTTCCCGGAACTCTGGGCCGCCTTCTTGGACACCACATCAAACATTTAATATTTAATTTCGCTGATGGATTTTTGGTGTAGCCCAAGCAGCCCAATGACCTCCATTCCGCCAGTTAAATGAATTTTATTTCATTTTTTCAGCCAGTCTCTCCCATTGCGTGTTTATTATATTTGGAGCAGCTGTAAAACTGTCTAAAACGAAATTTAATTTGGTTCAGCCAAGAGTTTCTCTGTGTGCCATTCATTTGGACGCTTCTATAATAAAGTGTTGCGGTTTTAGCCTTCTTCTGGGGCTTTGACTTATTATAAATTAGCATCTTTTGTTATCAAAACAGCCAACTGGCCCGGCAGCTCGTGAAGAAAGAGCAAAACAAGTTGACGAATATTGTTAGCTGGTTTTTGTTTTCGTTCTAGGCGTGTTGTTTGCATTCCCGGTAATTTGCTCAACCTCTGCTCATGACTAATCTTCTCCAGCCGTTTGCTAGGGGTTAGTTTGTCCCCAGATGTTTCACACTATCGCGTAGTATCGAATTGCAATCGCAAATAGCCAGGTTTCCCCGAAGCTGGCTCTTGCCGAATCGCTTGTAAATTGTTTTCAGCACATAACATTTAATCTAATCTCCAGTATTTATGGGCAGTTGCTTGCCCGGAGCTCGTATTTCAATTTCAGCCGGAATGTAAACGATCTCTGCCGATTTCTATGTGATTCCCAGGCGAATTCGGGATCCCTTTGCCCCTTTCTTCTTGGCGGCTAATTCAATTTTCTATACAACATTTTGAATTGAAACCAATTGGGGAGAGTCAATGGGTCAATGGGGGAAACGAACTCTTTTATTTTTGACTTCAGAAATGGATTGAACTACTGATTAAGTGGTTCCGGTGTTCGTTTACCAAAAACTTCAGCCACATAAAACACTCATGCTAAAAAAGGGGGCGGGCATCGGTGGGGTGAAGTGCTTCTAATCTTTTTCACTTGCCTTCTTAATTGGTGCATGCGACTGCATTTGAAATCGGGCTGGTTCGGTTATTAAGTTTAATAATAGAAGTGACCTTGTCGTACATTTTCAATTAGCTAGTGCCATAAAATGTGGGGGAACATCGAAGGGGTTGGTCAACCAACTGGCGAACTGAATACCTAATGGCGATATTGACGCGGTTTCAATCTGGGAATATATTGTTCATTCGGCGTCCATCCAAGGCGTTTCCTCTATTTTGTCTTCCCATTTTCGGCTGAGCTTGGGAATGCATTGTGGCTGCTCCTTTACAACACAGAAGGTGCCGCCTATTGATTAAATAATAATTAAAAATTTGCAACTGGAAAGTTATTAAAATTCTGTAGCCATCCCTTTACATCTTTAAAATTTAGCTAAAAAGACAAAAATATTCAATCTTTTTAAACACTTTATTTTTGTGATCATATCCAACTACTCAGTGTTCTTTCCTCTTACAGCGATTGGAGTTTGATCGGGAGGGTCTAACGAAGCTTAAAAAGGCGGTCAAGGCCATCCACAACTCGGGAAACAGTGAGTCTGATAAAACATATATTATTTTTAAGCGAATAATCTTTGGTATGCGTTTATCTTACAGCCCATGTGGACAATGAGATGTTTATGGTGCGGGCTTTGGAGCGGCTGGGCGGCAAGGTCATCGAACAGGATGAACCGGACATTGGGGCCGCCTTCCTTAAGTTCAGCGTTGTCACCAAGGAGCTCAGTGCGCTGATGAAGACCCTGGTAGTTATCCCCGGCTTGTGCCCAGTCCGTTATCTATTTGCTAAATTGTTTACCCTCCAAAACAGATGCAAAACATCAACAACATTGTGATGTTTCCGGTGGACTCAATGCTGAAGAGCGAGCTGCGGGGCGTCAAGGGCGACATGAAGCGGCCCTTCGACAAGGCGGCCAAGGACTACGAGGCAAAGTTCATCAAGATCGAGAAGGAGAAGAAAGCGCAGGCCAAGGAAGCGGGCATGGTGCGCACCGAGATTGACGCAGCCGTGGTGGCCGAGGAAATGGAGAAGGAGCGTCGTCTCTACCAGCTGCAGACCTGCGAGTATCTGCTGAAGTATAAGGACATCAAGACCAAGACGGGAATTGAGCTGTTGCAGCACCTTATTGAGTATTATCACGCGCTGAGCAAGTGAGTGCCCAAATCCAGGGACCCCGGCCTATCCTTTTACTAATAAGCTGAACATCTCCCATACAGCTACTTCAAAGACGGACTGCAGACGATCGAGCACTTCGGAACTTACATCGGCGATCTCAGCGAAAAACTACACGAAATTAAGCAGAAGCAGGACGAGGATCGTCGCAGCTTGCTGGACCTGCGAACAGTTCTGCGCAGCACCCCAGATTTCGAGCGGGTGGACAATGTACCGTCGTCGGAGAGCCGGAGTGGGGGAGCTGGTTACTCCCTCCACCAGTTGCAGGGCGACAAGCATCACGGCGTCACCCGGCAGGGCCATCTGCTCAAGAAGAGCGAGGGAAAGGTGCGGCGCGTGTGGCAGAAGCGACGTTGCCGGGTTACCAGCGATGGCTTTCTCGACATATTCCACGCGGACGAGTCCAAGCCGCCAACGCGCGTCAATCTGCTCACCTGCCAGATCAAGCCGGTGCCGGATGACAAGCGAGGATTTGATCTAATTAGCTGTGAGTGAAATTTTGAATGCGTTGATTATCACTTATATTCATAAGATAATTATATATCAACCTTTTCTTTTTGCAGACAATCGTCCGTATCACTTTCAGGCGGAGGATGAAGGCGACCAGAAGGCCTGGATGGCCGTGCTGGTGAACTGCAAAGAGAAGGCGCTGACCAAGGCCTTCCAGCACGCCAATCCGCAGATGAGTCCCAGTCTGGTGGAGCTGCAGAAGACTGTGATCCGCTACGTGCAGCTACTGCCAGGAAACGATCGGTGCTGCGACTGCGGATCGCGGAACGATGTGACCTGGATAAGCCTTAATTTTGGAATCCTGGTGTGCATCCAGTGCTCTGGTGTGCATCGCGACCTGGGCGTGCACCACTCGCGCATACAGAGCCTTACGCTGGACAACCTGACCACGGCCAACCTGCTAATTGCTCGTGCCATGGGCAACAGCACGCTGAACGACATAATGGAGGCGAAACTAGGAAGGGGCAAGCTGCAGCACGAAAGCAGCATGTAAGTTTTGTTATACTGTGTGTGCTTGTTTCCAAATGCTGAGCTCCACTCTATGTTTGCAGGGAGGAACGCTACGACTTTATCCGCGCCAAGTATGTGGCCAAGCGCTATGTGATGCGCACTTGCTCGGATGACAACGACTTGCGGTGCGACCTAGAGCAGGCAGTGGTCAATGCGGACATGAGTCAGCTGCTCCAGGTGTGGGCGGAAGGAGCGGATCTCACTTGCTGTCTGCCTAGCTCGGATGCTGGCGAAACGGCCCTCCATCTGGCCGTGCTCCGCGAGATGGGATCCACCCTGCACATAGTCGACTTTCTCATCCAAAATATGCCGCCCAAGGGTCTCAACAAGGCCACCAATCCAGCCGGCATCCTGGACGTGACGGGAAAGAACACGGCGTTGCATCTGTGTGCTCTACATGATCGCAGGGAGTGTATGAAGCTACTGCTCCGTTCCGGAGCAGACTACGAGCTCAAAAACTCTCAAAACAAGACAGCGCTGGATATTGCCAAAGAGATGGGACACAATAGCTGCAGAGAGCTTGTAAGATTCTTTGCGTAAATACACTCGAAGAAATACCAATCCATTTCCGATATCTTGCAGATTGAATGTGCCATTAAGCGGGAGAAGAGCGCCTTCGACCACATCAACACTGATTGGAATCTGCCCAACGAGGATGGATCCACGGACTTCAGTGACGATGAGACGGTCATCGATGAGCGCGTAAGTTACGCCTCTGGTTTAATTAAAATCTATGCTGATCCCTGTTCGGTTTGCTTGCAGAAATCCCGTTCGCGTCCCCCCAGTTTTGCTGGCGGGGACTCGCCCATTCTGCGCTCACGTTCCTCAACTTGCGACTCCATACAGTCCAGTTCTAGTCCAATCGCCAACTGTCCGAGCCGCCAGTTCACTCTGCCCTCCGGTCTGCCCAGCTATACACATTCTGCGGGCACTTCGCCCAAGCAGCACATCAGCGTCGGGCAGTATCTGGGGAGTGCTTCCAATGTGGGAGGCGGTGGGGCTGGTAACGGCGGCTCCAGTCCCAGTTCCGCCTCCAGCCAGAGCGTCCGCGCGGCGAGAAACAGCCTGAACATGCAAAGCGATCTCGGGGGCCATGTGGCAGGAGCACGAAAGTCCACGTCCACGGCCAACATGAACTCGCTGAAGAAGCGTACGGCTCCGGCACCGCCGCCCGGAACACTGGGCAGCGCATCGTCCAGCTCCTTCTATGGCACACTGCCTCATCCGCCGCGGCACTCGCAAAACTTCGATGCCAACGATATTCGGGCCATTAATCACAAGAACCAGTCGCTGGATGTGGCGTACGGCACGTTGCCGCACCTCCGAAGCGTGGAGAGCAGCCCTCGGGGCGGAGGAGGATACGGGTATGGAGTATCCCAGGATCCGGGAGGATCGGGCAACGGAAGCAACAACAGTCTCATGCCCGCCATGACTACCTTTGGCCATAAGCGTTCGCCCAGCGGTGAATCGCTGAACAGAAACATCCATTTAGCAGGCGCCAAGCTGGTCCTTCCGCCCACCGGGGAGTTGCCGACGCTGAAGCATGTAGACAAATCGGCGCTGACACGGCCAAAGATTCCTCCACCAGGGCCTCCACCAGGTGAGCATCAACACAGTTGCTGTATATCGCAGAGCCTTAATCTTTTCCTTCCAGAGCGTGAGATTTCAAACGGCCAGTCGAACGAGAGCATCAGTTCAATGGACGAGGGTCCAGTGGCGCCTCCTCGCAAGGTAAGTCCTTCAAATACCGCGTAGTGGGCGATTGAAAGAACCTGTAGCTCAAAAACCCATACCTTTCTCTGTATTTGATCTGATCCGCACTCGGCAAACAATTTGCAGCGCAAGCAACATATCATCGCACTGAGATGCCAGTCCAGCGAGGAGACGGTAAATGGCAAGCACCTCCGCACTTTCATTATTTGACAAGCAATCTTATTGTTGTCGTTGCTGTTGCAGTTGTCGTTCCTCTACTAAGTGTCTCGTTTTGTGCATCTCTCAAAAGCTCTAACCCATGCGCCCATACTCACAAACTATTTTGAATAGATTTTTCACTGTGTTCAATTTTGTTTGATCTCTATTTGACCGTAGTTCTGTTCAGTTTGGATAATAACTATCTTTTGAAACATTTCAGTTGATTAATCAGTCGGCCAATTTCACTGACTATGAGTCCTGGCACACTGACATGGACAGCTCTGGCGGCGGCCTGGATCATTCCGCAGAGTCAAATGTGTCCTCGAGCGACAACGATCGACTTAACTCATCGCCAGACAATCCATCAAAAACCGGCGGACCAGGACCAGGCGGGAAGTTCCACTATGTAGGATATTTTACCGTCTTCTTTCTATTCGAAGTCTAATGCATATTATTTTCTTTAACAGAACGGTCAGAGGCGGTGTCGGGCTCTCTATGACTGCGTTGCGGATAATGATGATGAGCTGGAGTTCAAGGAGGGCGAGATCCTGATCGTGCTAAACGAGCGCACCGACGACGAGAACTGGATGGAGGGCATCATCGAGGGACAGCCGGCCAGGAAGGGCATGTTCCCCGTCAGCTTCGTTCATATGCTGCCTGATTAAGCAATCCATTGTTTGTGCTAAGTGTGTGGCTGCGCGTGATTGTATATAGATATATATATAGATGTGTGTGTATGCGTCTTTTAAACTCTAATGATACATAAGACAAGTTTTTATTTATTACAAGCATTTTATCACAAAGCGTGCGCCTATTTATTTGCCTAAGACTAAACATGTAAACGTCTCAAGTGAGCGACCCTTAGCTTAGAAGCCAACTACTCATTTACACCTATATTTCAATCAGAGCCTTTAAGTAGAGATCTTGCTGTGCATTTCCGAAGGCTTCCACCCCAAAGTTTGCGCTTTGATAACTGATAACTGTCCTGCAAATGCTGTAATTCGTAGCGTACTCAAATCTAACTTTATCTTTGCCTCAAAAGCTGTGCGCAAAAGTTACTCAATGTCAGAAGAATTGTCAGGAGATGAAACACTGTATTGTATGCTTATACTTTATGCTGCCATAAACAGATACTAACTATACCCACCCGACCTGGTCGGGATCTTGGCTTACACTCGTACTCAAGTATTCTAAATCTGTTGTTGATGGTTTGACGAAGAGTTTATAAAACAACGTTGAAAAAAAAAATATAAATTTACCTAAACCAATGCCCAAGCTAACCCAATTGCGAACGTAATTCGAAATCCACCATTGCTATAATAAAGAAAATCGAACATAATTCTGCAAAAAGGAAAACAAAGCCCTTTGTACCTAGAAGTTGTTTCCAATTAAGTACCCAATATATATAAACGTATTTAAATATTACAACTTACAAGTAGTCTTCTTTCGAGACTTGTTTGACACATGATTATTTCGAAAATCTAAACTGTATATACATATTTTTTTAAAACACCACACACCCTTTTTCTTTTCACACATTTTGTACACACGTTTCAGTATTTATTTAGCAAAACCTTAAACATATTGATATTATGTATAAGTCAAATAAAAGGAAGAACATAACGCTTATTAAATATATACACATATATAAGGTTGTGTTTTTACCAAAAATAATGGAGTCGTTTTAATTTGTTGGTTGGACTGTGAGTGTAAGTAAAACTACTAAGTAAAACTAGGTGCAAACTAAAATTCAAGGGCTTCCATGACTTCCTCCTCATCAGAGAGACTTTTGGGAGGAGTCGGTTCTTCTTGGGATTTTGCAACCTTTGAGTTGAGTTTTGGGTGTTTTTGGAGAATGTTTGCTATGTCCATGAATAATTCGAAACTGGTCCTTTCGAGCAAAGAGTCACCGGTATGATTGGAGGCCAATATTTTAGCCAGGTTCTTGTAGTCACGCTGCATAAGGCAGTTTCGAGCCAATCGTAGTTTTTCATAGGTAGTAGATCGTCTTGCATTGCTGTATAATTCATAGCTGATTGGAGGAGCGCACGATGTGTTTTTATTAAGCCAAAAACCGTCCTCGGGATTAGATGTGATTTCGAGGGTGCGTTTCAGAACGTTTGGAGGTATTCTCCTAGCTGGAAAGTTCGCCCCATTTATTTTTCGCACCTTCTTTAATGGTGGCTTGTTGTCAGGTTTTGTGTTCATTTTACACGCGGTTACTTAGCAGGGATTTTCTTGAAAACGTATACAAAAATGAAGTAAACACTTTTAGTTGTTGGTTGTGTTGTGTTTGCTTACAAAAAAAAATATATTAGTATTAGATTTTCAATGTTTACCATCAATTTAGTTCTCAGATAAAACACAAATGCGTAGTGCTAACAGCGATAAACAATGTTAGCCCAGATAACAGCCATGACGTTTAACAGTCGTCCCCGCTAAGCTATCGATTTCGCGCAGCCAATCGATGGTTCGATTCGTCCGATATCCACATCCCTACTACAATAAAGCAATATTTTCCGCATGCAACCAAAAACCAACTAATATAATGGTAGCCGTGGAATTATAATTGCGAAGTTGATTCGATTTGGATAGCCAACCAGTCGCTGAAGGACCCTCATTTGGTCACCGGGACGCCGACTGTCGGAAAAGATCAATCCACAGCCGGAAATTGCACGAGAAGTCTCTTCGCCTTGAGGTCGCGAGTTGCCAATTTGTTGTCGGCCCCAGTGCAAAAGTCGCACAAAACGCAAGGAATACTTGCTGGTAGTTCTGTGAGCGGTAAGAAGCTAACCAACTGAAAAACTGCATGTGAGAATAGATCCTGCGAACTGAGAAGAATCTCCACGACAGGACCAGGCCATACCGGTGCGACGGAAGCAGGGCAGGATCAGGCGAACAGGAGCGGAGTGGAGAGCCTGCGGGCAGCCGGGTCCGAAAGCTATGAGTGCTGCCAAGAAGTATAAGCCCATGGACACAACTGAGCTGCACGAGAATACCGAGAACATCGCCGCCTGCCTGAAGAAGGCCGAGAACGCCGCCCCCACCGCAGCCGCCGCCTCGAGCCTAGGTCGCAGTGCCTTCGCTGCCCAAAACATGAACTCCGCGTCCACCAATGGCGAGCGCCTGCCAAACTTCTCCAAGCTGGGCGGCAGCCATGCCGAGATTCGCACGGCTTCAACTACCTCAAACCTTCTCAATCGCATGGGGGCCATACACAACAGCAAGCCCGGCGACGTCAAGAAGATAGTGATTAAGAACTTCAAGGGTATGTTCCGTCTAGATCTAAATTCTTTTCTCCTGCGTGATGTTAACTTTTGCCCTTAGCTAAGCCCACACTGCCCGATAACTACTCCGAGGACACGTACGTGAAGCTCGAGGAGGCCGTTATCGCCATCCAACTCTCGAAGCCCATAAAATATTCGCTGGAAGAGCTCTACCAGGCGGTGGTCAACATGTGCAGCCACAAGATGGATGCGCAGTTGTACGCGAAACTGAAGGAGCTTACTGAGCAGCACGTAAAGCGCAATATTAAGCTCAAGGAGCTCACTGGCGGCAGCATGGACAAACTGGTGAGTTGCTGCCAAGAAATCGGAGACGAAAGCTCACTTATCACTCTCAATCGCTTTGCAGATTTTGCTAGAGAAGATCAACCACTGGTGGCTTTCGTTCTGCCAGCAGATGATCATGATTCGTAGCATATTCTTGTACATGGACCGGACATATGTGCTGCAGAACTCGTCCATTCACTCGATTTGGGACATGGGACTGGACCTTTTTCGCATCCATTTTGCTCAGAACAGCGTCGTCCAAAAGCGGACCGTCGACGGTTTACTAACGCTAATCGAAAAGGAACGCCAGGGCTCCACCGTGGACCGAGGTCTGTTAAAGAGTTTGGTGCGCATGCTGTGCGACCTGCAGATCTATACCAGCTCCTTTGAGGAGAAGTTCCTGGACGCAACCAACCAACTGTACAAGGCTGAGAGTCAACGCAAGATGCAGGAACTGGAGGTGCCCGAGTACTTACAGCACGTCAACAAGCGTTTAGCGGAGGAGAACGAGCGCTTGCGGCACTATCTGGACTCCAGCACAAAGTATGCTAGATCGGTCAAAAATAAAACCATTTTACTAATGCACTTTTCTTAGGCATCCGCTGATATACAATGTGGAAAAGGAGCTTCTTGCGGAACACCTAACGTCAATATTGCAAAAGGGCTTGGATTCGTTGTTGGAAGACAACAGACTGAACGACCTCACACTTTTGTACGGCCTGCTTAGCCGAGTTAAAAATGGAACTTCTGAGCTGTGTGGCAACTTCAACGGTTTCATCAAGGTATGTGTTCCTCTTAAAATTCTTTAGATACAATCAGCAATTTATTTTTTGCCTTTCAGAAAAAGGGGCGCACCATTGTTATCGATCCTGAGAAGGATAAGAGTATGGTTCAAGACTTGCTAGATTTCAAGGATAAAATGGATGTGATCGTTCGCACTTGCTTCGAGCACAATGAGAAATTCACAAACTCACTGCGCGAGGCCTTTGAGTTCTTTATCAACCAGCGTGCCAACAAGCCGGCCGAACTCATTGGTAAGCCTCCACGGTTACTACTACCTTCTACACAGTTTGCTGTAACTTTACTCTTCCATTAGCTAAATACGTAGACATGAAACTGCGATCAGGTAACAAGGGAACCACCGATGAAGAGTTGGAGAAGACTCTGGATAAAATCATGGTTCTGTTCCGCTTTATACACGGCAAGGACGTCTTTGAAGCGTTTTACAAAAAGGTATGTGTCCCTCTTTTGCATTTCGGGATTGACTAATGCCCACCACTTTTTCAGGACTTGGCCAAACGACTACTTGTGGGCAAATCGGCCTCAGTGGATTCCGAAAAGAGTATGCTGTCCAAGCTAAAACAGGAGTGCGGCGGAGGATTCACATCCAAGCTGGAGGGAATGTTTAAGGACATGGAGTTGAGCCGGGATATAAACACTGCGTTCCGCGGACACGCGTTAAGCAACAATCGCGATGTCCACAACTTAGACTTGTGCGTCAGCATTCTAACTATGGGGTACTGGCCAACATATGCGCCCACGGAAGTCACAATGCCGCCACAGTTTATTAATCCGCAGCAGATTTTCAACAAGTTTTATCTGGAAAAGCACAGCGGGCGGAAGTTGCAGTGGCAGCCAACTTTGGGAAATTGTATGCTGCGTGCGCAGTTTGATGCGGTAATCACAAATAGCGTTTTTAATTTTACAAAAACTTTTATTTAACGTTAAACTATTGTCTATAGGGTCCAAAGGAATTGTTGGTCTCGCTGTTTCAAGCGCTTGTGCTGTTATTGTTCAACGATAAGCCAATTTTAAGCTACGAGGAGATATTGGCCGCGACCCTCATTGAGGACGGAGAGTTGCGTAGGACACTTCAATCTCTGGCTTGTGGTCGCGCCCGCGTTATAACGAAAACACCGAAAGGTCGCGAAATTTTAGATGGCGATCAGTTCGACTTCAACAATGAGTTCACAAACAAATTGTTCAGAATCAAGATCAACCAAATACAGATGAAGGAGACGGTGAGTACCAAAGACTATGGTTGATATTTCAAAAGGCTTATTTATCCTATATTCCCCAGAACGAGGAGCAAAAGGCGACGGAAGAGCGAGTTTTCCAAGATCGTCAGTATCAAATAGATGCGGCTATTGTGCGAATTATGAAAATGCGGAAAACGCTAAGCCACAATCTACTCATCACCGAGCTGTTCAACCAGCTCACCTTCCCCGTCAAGGTAGATATTAGACATTCCTATTTTTAGCAGCCTAGGCCTAACAAGCTTGTTTATATTGCAGCCCGCTGACTTAAAAAAGCGCATCGAGTCGCTCATCGATCGCGACTATATGGAGCGGGACAAGGATAATCAAAATCAATACAACTACGTGGCATAAATTGCCGCAACTTCTGTGAACTCCGAACACCGATTCGATTGTAATTCGTTCTATACCATACGCATACATACTAACAGTCTAATGAAGTTTTTGGAGTGTCCCTGGTCCGTTCAGCGATGTTCAGAAGATTTTTCAGCTGTAATTTTGTTTCTTCTATAACTAGATCGTTGAACAATCCCCCAGCTAATGGTAGTATAGTTGCTACAGTTCTTTTTGTAAGTTACCTTATCAATTAAGCAGATAATTTACGAGCCGTGCCCCTTGGAAGAGGTCATCGCCATCGGAAAGTAGAAAGGTCCAGCAATATAAAATTGTCGTCAACCCGAAAAAAGAACCAAGTGTTCAATAAACTCATTTATTGGACTAATTGTATTTCGTTTACTTTTAATTGATAGTTCTCCTTCAATTAACAATAGAAGTGACACTTGCAGGCTAATTTTCTAAAGGAAATATTAAAATAATTATAACTCGTACTCGTAACTCTGTATGCAAAAGAGATACGCATAAACTTAATAGTTTTTTATTTATCATAAATAAAAAAATTACGTGAAATAATATAATGCACTGTGTGTTTCATTTGTAAAATATTAACAGCATTACTGTTTCGAAAATTAGCATGAAGCTCTTTGTTAAGCATTTAGCAAAGAAATATAGTATGTACAGTTGTTACAGATAAAATTGGAAAATTAGGTAGATTATATACACATCAGAAATAAATATTGCACTCGCGTTTGCGTGCAAGGGACATATCAAAATCTGGCTGGTCTGGCTGGTCTAGGTATCACAAATTATCTTGCTGTTATCCTCCTGTCATTCATTCGTATGCAAATTAAAGCCGTCAACTTGCAAAGTTCTCAGTGGCTTCTATAGATATTTTACAAAAATAAATGTAGGGTCTCCCGACGCTAATACTATTTACGCCTCCACACTGTTGACGCTGTACTGCGAGCTATCGTACTCGGAAACGCTGTCGGAGCCGTATCCCCCAAATCCTGCTACTGAGGGCCGAACACTGCTGGTCCTTACTCCATTATCTTTAAGCACATCGGGAACGTAGATGGGTGCCGGACCGGCAATCTCCACAATGCTTGGCCGCCGCGTGGCAGCGCATCGTTTGATTGGTGACATAAAAGTGAACAGAGTGAGGGTAATGGCCAGACTGATGATAAGCAGCAGGAAGCGGGCCATGCCCTCATCGCCGCGGAAGTAACATATCATGGCCATGACCAGCACCAAGATCACTACCGAGAACTTGGTCATCGTTACTGCTGTCGAGTGGATCTTTCCGCCCTTGCGAGAGATCATGTTTGATGGTCCGTAGGCAAAATAGAGGTTGTGGCGATCCACGAAGTGCTTCAGGCAGATGTATATCATGGCGAAAGGCATGATCAGCGGGCAGGCCACGCTGTAGACAATGGCTATGGTAAAAACGAGCGTGGTCCAGGCATAGTGCGTTCCGAAGGGAAACTCGATGAGGATTGCCTTGCGAATGTACGGCGTTTCGGCCTTGGATTTTGCCTTTAGCAATGACCAAATGTAGACAATCAGCTCCGGGAAGCGCAACAGCTCCAACGCAGTTCCAATAAACGCTGCTGTAATGATGTAGTTTACATAGAAGGAGCCACGTTCAGGCAAGAAAATGCACTGCCAGCGCTCAGTCTGGTTAGTAAATCCCCATTCCAATAGCGCCTGAGCGGAAGTCAGTCCAAGGGAAGGCAGAATCATAATCATCATAAGCAGATAGCCAAAGCACTTTGTCATGATCGAATAGTTCTGTTTGGAGCGTGTGTAGTGCCGCATCCACTTGTCCGAAATGGCCACAATCACGGGCATCAGCGCCGACAGGGTCCAGAGCATCAATGTGGGTAGGAAATCAGATACAAGCGGCGAGATCTTGCTTTCCGTTTCCTTTATCCATGGTCGGCTGTTGAGCAGGCTTACTACAATGGCCGGCGTGGAGAGAAAGAAGAGAACCAGGAAGAGCACTGCGTTCACGCAAAAGAACTTCAGGTACCAGTGGCTTTTGTTCACATTCAAGTTCTCCCAGAAGAGATCATCCGGTGACGGAGCGAACACCAGGTGCCATTGGCGGTAGGTACCCGGTGTGAAGTGGGTAACAATATTCTGCGCCTCCTGCACTGTAGACACAGTGATAAACGCAATGTCCAGGGGCTCATTCATCGTGGAAGCGCGCAGACGGGCCACATCCCCAGATAACTTACGCTCCTCTCGTTGATAGTACTCATAGGCATTTTCCTTTTTGCAGGAACACATGTCGGGTTTGGCCTGCGTGAAGAACATTATAAGATACTGATTGCATTTAAAATTGGGGTAAATAAACTTACCATCAAAGTATCTCTATTCCTATGATGTTCGCAGTACAATCTCGCATCGTGAACTCGCTCAAACTCTGCGTTCCTTACATAAAGTCGTGAAATGTTGTACGCTATCGACACGTTCTCGATGGTGACGTCCGGGAAGAGCTCCTGCATGTAGTTCCGTACCACGGTCTTGTTACGATCGCTGGACGATATGTTGGATATCATAATGGTGCGGGTGGCGGCTTTCTTAAAGGCATTCCGTCCCGAGGCCCTCCGCATGATGAGTACCACGAGCGGAATATAAAGAATGGTGATGATCGTGTGCACCCAAAGCCACGGCGAATTTGGCGAGAGATTCGCCATTGTAGTGCGACCAAAGGCATTCACGTCGTAAGGGTTTTCCTTGGGACCGTTGAAGAAGTTGACCGGAAGAATAATGACCAGCGAAACGATGGTCACCAGAGCCATGACGGCCATCAGGTGCAGTTGAAAGGACAGGTAATGCACGGCATCCGGTCCAGTGTGCAGCAAGATGGTCTCCTTGCGCAGCTTCAGGGTGACTTTGATCCAGCCGAAAAGACCCTCCTCGGGCTGAATGGGTGATAAAGGCGTTGAGTCGGCGATCACCTGGGAGGTGGCGCTTGGCCTAGGCGACACCTGAGTTGAGGTGCTCGGCTGGGGATCGACCACACTGGCGGCCCGCGAATAGAAGATCTCCGTCCAGCGCTTTTTGCTCCCATTGCTGTTGACCAGCGCAAGGCGACCAAAGTCACCCGCCTGGTGTCGCAGAGTCGTAAACAGAAGGATCAGAAGAACCCAGAAGATGGTGTTCAGAATCAGGGTTTCCGGAATGCCATTGTAGGCGGTGGTGAAGAACGAGGTGCGATTACCTACTGCTTGGCAGTAGGAAATGTTGCCGTTGTCCGACATGGCCAGCGGGTGAATCACTGAAAACACAAAGAAATTAGAAGCTATTAGTTGTTTGTTTTGGAAGCTACCAATGAGGCCCTGATATCAACACAGCTGATCGGGTATATATCTGCCGATAAGGCCGTGGGAAAACCCCGACCTCTGGTATTGAATCAGCAGACCCAGCTGATAGAATTCTTTCAGTGCCCTCAAGGCAGAGTGATCTTTTTGGGTCACTCGGTCAAACTAAACAAAGTCCACAGACCGCAGATGCTGGCGGGCAGAGCCCTAAGGCCACAGATTAGCCTATTTAAAAGTAACTTCGTATATAATAGATACGGTATCTTCATGAGCGAAAACAGAAGAAACACCAACAAAGAAGTAAGTCCGTTTTAGGAATGAGATAATAGGCGAATAAAACATGTTTTTGTGGGCATGAGGCAACCTGAAAGGGGGTGGTTGTTTGTGGGGGGAAGAAGCACTACGTCATGTTGGTCCACCTCCCTTTTTGCGTTTTGTCTTCGAAATGAATCATCAAAGAGCCATTTTCGACTTGGTCTGTCGCGTGGCAATGGTGCAAAATGCAATAAAAGAAAGCCACTGGCCCCATATACTTATTTAATTATTTTTCACAGATTAAATGCCAGTGTGTTTGTGTGATTTCGACTGTTATTCACTTTCTTCACTCGGCGGTTACAAAACAATCCACTGCATACCTTCAATGAAATTCTTTATTTCCAGTGAATCTTTTGTTTAACTTTGCATTAAACATCAGCTTTGAATTTCCTCAGTTGCACATCAATAAATCCAGCTTTGTGTCGTAAAAACGGAATAACTGCCTTTCGCTCCCGTCAATGCATTTTACTGACAGTTATCGATAGGGCTCTGTTAAGCATCGATAGTTTTGAGCATTAGGGGTAGTCGTGTGCAATTTAATTTATTGTAAGTTATTAAATATTTTTGGACTTAGGTAAGCCTTTTTTAAATATATTTTTTTTAGGTATATTACATTTACATTAAATGCATTATATTTTAAATGCAATATACCGTACTCAAAACTCACCACCATTAACTCAATCCGTAAGGATCCAATGCAACCCTGTGTTTTATTAGCCCTGGCGGCGTGGAGGATCTCAATGGTTTTTATCCGTAACTTAATCGAAATATGCTGCTTACCATTTGTTTTTGGCACAGTTGACAGCGCGTTTTACTTTTCATCGTGCGGTACGTCAAAATGACATTAAGGAATAGTCTTTAGTTCTTAATCTCTTTGCCTTTCACAGACAAACACACATTTTTAAAACCTTAACTGCGTTTTTATCACCCAACCAAATCTTAATCATGCAACCTGCACCATCGAAGGAGTTGAAGATCCAGTTCAAGATCCAGCTGCTTTCCGGCAAGAATGTTGTCCTGGTAGAGTGTCCGGGCTTCGAGAGTGAGCTGTTCATGCCGCAGATTGTCGGGGGACGGATAACCTTCCAGAACATCATCCCGAATCGAAAATGCTGCCAAGAGAGCAGGATGTTAACTGATTCCTTGAAGGGCGACATGGGCACAAGGCCTGGTAGCTCGAAGAGCCCATTACGGCGCTCCCTTCTCGATGTTAACCTCTCAACCCCACTTGCCAAGAGCACCCCGTCGAGTTCGTCCTTTCCGCGAGCCTGGGCCGACAAGGAGAACGTCCTCCCGCAGTTGACGCCCGAGGTAGTGCGCTGCCTACCATTTCAGCTGACTTCACTGGGTGAAGTGGACATGGATGTGGACATGGGCGAGATGCTCTGCCAGGAGCCGGCATCAAAGAGCCCTCGCCTGCATTCGCCTGACCCTCAACAGAGGACAGAGGTCTCCCCACCAGTCCTTACCCATATGAGCCTGACTAATGTTCAATCAAAGGAAACTGGAGTGAACAAGTCTACACCCAAGGTTCCACCCGTACGGACCTATGCCCGCAAAACGGCGGGCACCGCCGGCAAAGCAAAGCCGATACCCACCTGGTCGCCCCTCCTAAAGAAAAAAAAGAATGCGATAGCATCCTCCACCAAGGTGCCCAGTCCCACCATGAAGCTGGAGGTGCGCCATCGCAAACTGATAGTAGACACCAAAAAGACCCTGGACGTACGCGATCCCAACAAATTGTGCAGTGCGCCCGTTTCAATGAACAAAATCATTCGAAAGCAGGTGACTGGGAAGACACGGAAGCAGTTTGAGGCCCTTAAAATCACAGCCTTTGACTTGTTAACCAATCCGTGCATAAGCAACATGTCTGAAGATCTCATCAAACAATTCCAGAAGTCCTGTGCGAACAAGGTATGCACCACGTTACCCAATTACGCAGAGATCGCGGTTGCCTCGCCGCTGAAAATGGATAGAGAGGTTAAGGCCATTATGGCCAGGCAAAAGCGGATGGAGCGGAACCAGAAACCGAAATGCGCGTTGTCCCTGAAGAGCAAGCTAGTCTAAAGACCCGTTGCGTACTTAAGTCCCTAGAATCATCTCGATGTATTCGTCCTGACTTTTAGACAGTAATCAAAATGCATGTATATTCTTGCCATTCAGATTAAACAGAATACTACAAATAAACCTACTTAGATCTCCATTTATCTTTACAAGTATTATACATTTACCAAAAAAGGAACACATTCTGTCTAGATATATGTACAGTTATAAATTAAGCTATCCTAGGGGAGGAGACTACATTAATGGTGAATAATAATATGACTTTGTACCACAAGACATCTTTGTAACCGGGTAGCTATTTAGCCTCCTAAGAGCTGCGGCATCGAAAGCAGGCTTTGAATCCCCGCTTGATGGCCCTTATATTGTGGACGACCTGCTCCTGAAGAAAAGGACGTGCGTTAGAAATCTGAGAATGGGTAACTGTTTTCCCATTTACCTGCATCAGATTGAAGCACATGGCAATCACGGCCATGCCAAGAAGTAGATACATGGCGCAGAGAATGAAGCTGACCTCCACCTTATCTTTATCGGCGGTTATCTGGAGGGTAAAATATGTTCAAGGAGCAATTATATTAATTTTGATTTATATATCTTGTAAATGAAATTTAATGTGTTCGTTTGAATTCGATTTAAAAAGCATTTAAAATTTGTTTTGTATAGAATATCTTACCACGCGATCACCTGGCACCAGATCTCCAAATCCAATGCTGCTGAGAGATATAAGACAGAAGTAGCTGCCATCCAGATAGTTCCAGTCTTCCCAACGTCCGAAGAGCAGGGCCCCCCAAAGAATATAACTGAAGTCAGAAGGATTTGTAAGAATTCTCGGGTTCCCTTTAAGATGCAGTTTCTCCTACCCGACCATAACGAATATGCAGACAGTGACTGGAACCGTGATCTCATCCGTGCTACCTCGAATTTCCCGCTCGATGTCCGAGTCAGACTCTGTGTACGGAATATCCACCAGACTGGAGCTCTGTCGGGAACTCTTTGTATAGTCACTACTACTGCTGTTGGAGGTGGTGGTGCTACTGGTGCTTGTGTAACTGCTGCTGCCCCGGGCGTTCTCCATGTCGTGCATTTGCAGCTGCAGGTGGTTAAAGAATTTTTAAGGATTTGAAAAAAATGAAAGCTGTTTTTTTAACCAACCGCTCTGGCCAACTGGCGCATTTTTCGTCTCTCACGGATAATACGACGCTTGGCCACGCCTGGACATATTCGACACAGGCACACCTTGGAGTATACCCACTTAAAGGACTTGGCCAGGACATCTCCAATGTTGGACAGGTAGAGCAGGAACAGCGGCATGCCAATGATTGCGTACAGAATGGTCACCAGCTTTCCCCACTCGGATTGGGGTGTAATGTTCCCATACCCGATGGTCGTGATCACGGTCAGCGAAAAAAGGACGGCGCCCGAGAAACTCCACTGCTCCACGTCGGGTCCCTTCAGCTGCTTCTTCACTATGGCCCGCTGGTAATCCAGCAGCGCATCGTTAACCCTGCAACAGTTAAATTTAATTAGAGTCACTTCCCTATATACTGGAATCCAAGATGACTTACCGCCTCCTGTAGGCATGGTGGTCGAAGAAGCTTATGTTCTCCGCCGTAAGCTCCCAGATCCGCGTCAGGCACTCCCCGCTAAAGTTCCGTGCAATGAAGCGATGGGGCTTCTCGGACTTAAGACGCTCGTACTCGAATATCTCGATGCCCTGGAATATGAAGGCTCCTCCGATTATGTAGAATGTGACCAGTAGGATGATGCCCACGTTGCTGAACATGAAAGCCGTAAAGTGGCGGCAGTGGTCCTTGAAGCGCTCGAAGGCGGGCTTCTCCCTTCTTCGGAAGGAGCTCCGTCGCGAGGACATGTCTTGGCGGCTCGCTTCCGATTCGGTTTTAGTTCCGGTTCCGGTTTCGATTGGTCTTCCACTGGCGTTCGCCTGGACATGCTCGGGTCTGGTCCGACACTCGCATCGATGACGACTGGAAGGATTTCCGGCTACCTATCGCTAAAAATATCCACAATTAGTTTACCCGGTTCTCAAACGCAGAGTGGTAAATAAACAAGGAACCCGCTACATTGCTTCATTATCAAAGTGTTCGGCGGCATAAATCTTCTCAAAGAAGATTTGTTATGTGGGTGGTTTATTTTCATTATTCGGGATTATAGCGAAATATACGATCTTCACCCATGCTTGGATAAGACATTGTAATAAATTTGCTGTTAAAACAATATCGTTTCTATAAAACCAAAAGCCGAAAATTCATCGCTAAATCTTTTAGTTCCGCCATAAGGCTTGATATAACTTGTATATTATTCAAATTCTGTTTTTTTGATTTAAACGAAATGTCTTAAAAATTGGGATTTTAAAATCAAAGCTCGCACATAAAATTGACCTATTGATAAATTATTGTGTTTAGGAATTTTAAATCAATAAATTTAAAATAACTTCCATCGACTTGATATAATTTGCATTTTTTACAAATCCCCTTTTTTTTAAAATTGTGATTTTAAAATGAAAGCACGCACATTAAAATGACATATTGACAAATTATTTTGTTAAGGAATTTGAAATCAATAAATTTGAAAAAAATTCCTGCGGAAAATACATATTTTTGGGCCTTTAACATAATTGATTGTATTTAATTTTCGCTAACTTGAGATGATTATCTCTACCTATAGATGTCGAAAATTGTGAAATTGCATGTAACTCATTCGCCGTGACTGTTTGCGGACATTTTCGAGAGAAGTAAAATGCGAAATCGCTTAGCAGCATGAATGGGTTTTTATTTTTAATACAGTGTTCTCTATGTTCTCTAATAAATGGCCAGCATGAACATGAATTATTGGACTACAATCTTGGCAGCTGGCCTGTGGAACAGTCACATCATCTCCTCTCATCGCGACTCATCCCATCCCCACGGATCGTTTGTGTGTGGCATTTCAAATTTCTCGCGTGGCCGGAGGATGACACTCGTCTATATTCGAGAATTGATGGCGTAGCCGTGGCGTCAAATTGGAAAGTTCCTAACGATCCTATCTGCCGTCTGCGGTTGCCAAACGCTGCTTGTTTTTGTTTGGTTTTCAATCTTTTTTTAGGGTTTTATTTAGTGGGTGTGAAATACGAGTTCATTGGGGCATTATTTTTATAAACTTCTGTTCTGGACGGGGCCGACAGTCATTTGCTTGATTTGTGGCCGCCTCAGTTCGCCGATCCACGGATCTCGTTAGCCTTGGAATCGGAATCTGCCCACCTCGATCTCACGCATTCGCATAGCATATCTGTAGGTGGAAATCGGGCAGGTAAGCAAATGTATATTTTTATTGATTTGCTCAATCTTGCACGCACTCTGCCAGCGGGCATAAATTAAAATCAATTTGCAATTGATGTCTGCCTTATTTACAGGCGAAAACATATACATAATTAAAAAATCCAAACACAAAACAAACACAAACTGAAAACCCGCCAGAGTGGTCCAATGCGTGTGTTCCAATGAAAATACACAAAACCTCGGAAGGAAAACACATTATGGATGGATGCTTTTCGCAGGGCGAATCGAAGGGGCTGGACAGACATAAAAAACATGCCCACTGTTTATGTTTTTGATGCAATTAAGCAATGAGGGTGACGAACAGGGAGATTCTGGCCAAGACCGAGCGCATTTTGTGGCCGGCAATTAAAATGCACTTCGGGCGAGTTTGGCGCGATATTTTTGGCCAGCGGCAATAAAGTCATTTTCCGTTTAGTCATACACTCATTAGCTCGAAATGTCTGTTTCCCATAGCATCAAAAGTTTTAATTATAATTGCTCTGAAAATTTTTAAGACATTCTAACCCGAATCCGAAGATTACCGAAAAGATCAAAGCGAAAGGCGCAGGAAACGGCCGGCTAATGTATTGTGTGGAGATCAGATCTGCCTTGAAAAAGGGGGTCTGTAGGCAAAAAATGAGTATCGAATAATTTAATTTAGGTGCCGTTAAGCTAAGCATTCTGTCTGCTTCTTGGAAGTGGCTTTTTTCCAATTTTCCATTTGGCCAAACGAGTTGCCTTTTAGCTAGCAACTAAATTGCGTCATGTATCTCTAATTTTGTTTATGCGAGAGATGACGACATTGATTGCAAACACTCCCCTGACTTATGTTTACATAGCTATTACCTCATGCAGGTGCCCTGAATTGTTTTTTGTTAATATTGCCAGTTATAAGGCATATACACCAAGTACTATACCATGCCCATGCAGGTCCTTCAGCCAGCACACTTGCACAATTAATTCTCAACATATAATTTGCCACGCCAAAATTGAAAATTGAAAGCAAGAATTACTTAAATATGACAGACAGCCCCAGAATGTTAAGTGTCAGCGGCTACACGAGAGCAGATTTTAAAATTTAATTACGGTGAAAATTCGGTGAAAAGCTGGCTGGCATGGAAAAAAGAAATTACGGCGACGACATCATCACCGCACATTGATGGCCAGCATCCCAATTGACATGACAGATCGGCACAGAACCGAACCAAGAACGTGTGCGAGTCAAAAACTAATTTTCGAGCATTGACCGCAGAATGGGAGAATTGGTTGCGTATCGAGTTTCTGTTTCTGCATGCGAGATTTATTCCTATGGGAAAGAAACCACATTAAGAAATTGCCGACCACTCGAAATTGAATTTCCACGTCGCAAAAGTAGGGCATCATTTAAATTAACAATTCGTTTTGATCACATCTGTGATCTTACCTAAACATATGAATAATACAAGTTCAATGTGCCAATCGATATATGTCTTGAAACACTCCGAGACGATTCGAATCATTGCAAAGATACAATTATAATGACAAATTAAGTAAAGAAAATTTTGGAATCTGAAAAGAAACCACATTTCACCGCAGGAATTTTGGGCCACCTAAGAATTTTTATGTTTATTCTTGTTTTGCGGTTCCCAACGCAAGAATTGAAAAGCCAAGTATTTCTTAAAGAGGTACATTAATGTAATTGATTCATTTTCTGTATAAGAGAGTTTTTGTTTTTGTATCAAGAGATTCATTTTAAAACATAAATTGAAACTGTCAGTCATTTAGAATCTTGTATATCAAAAGAATATTTATGTTTTAAATTAATTAATTTGAATAGCAATAGCTTCATGAAGGGTGGTGGTATTTCCTGGTTTATCGTGTTTTTATTTTAATCTCAAGTTGCGCTTTACCAATTAAGCTGATATATATTTTAATTTGCAACTGAAATAGATGCACTAGATTGAGTAAATTGTGCTACATAAAAATGGCAAAAAATTTAGTGACTGTAAGCCATCTGTTGATTTCGTAAAATCTCCAAAACAAATCCGACCACAAATCGAGTCGTGTTCCATTTTAAAGTTACCGTAAAAACGAACTAACCAAGCCATATCAATGGTAAAATTAATTTTATTTTTTTTATTTGCTTTATCAGGCCGGTATCGGCTTTGCGACTCAAATTTGAATTTCAGTATTGATCAACGTACGGTGGTTCATGTTATTCCCCTAGACAGTGTTGTAAAACTTTTGTTTTTAACGCTGTAAGAATAATCGAAAAAAACTATTTAAATAAATAAGCATAAAAAAATTATTATTATTAATGTAAATATTATATGCTTATTTGTTTTAAGTCTTTAAAAAAACATCCATAAAAACATTCTTTGCTTCTTTTTTGTGATTTAGGGTTGCAACTCTACTAGGAACTACCATCACCCTTCTTGAAGAATTTTAAAAATATTATTTTGGAAACTAGTGTTATCTAAGGCAGTAAAAATGTTTTAAAACAAAAAACGTATGAAACACGGTTGACTCAGACAGGTCTCAATTTTCTGATTTTGCAATTAATAAACTTTGTACTTAGAGTAGGTAAACTTATTTTACTTTCTTACTTCTCCTTGTGCATAAATTTGATCATACAAAATTTGTTTTATTTAAATAAAACAAATGTACATTAGACGCAATACGGAATGTTTAAATAAATTTAGTTGTTTATTCAAAAAAGCCTATTCATCAGATCAATGGAAAACACTTGAATACATACTTGTTTGAATTTATTTTATTTATTGAAGCACTTCAAAATATTTGAAATTTTTTGTTTAAAAGTTTTGTAAATAAACCAAGCACAAAAAACGTTTTTCATTCGAGGTTTTGCTATTGATTTTTAAGCGGTACTTTTTAATTTCTTAGCGGCCAAGAGGCTGTAGTAAAATCCATTTGGTGGTCATTTTTAAGGATCACGAACCTGTTTATTATTTCAGTTCGTTACGATGCTATTGGTGATGCTATTGGTGCTCCTGCCAGATGCTCATCCGTGACGTCATGGGCGGCGAATCGGTTGGCTGTTGTTGTTGGTGCTTCGGTTCGGTTGCTCCGTTTATTTTAGCAGCTGATGTATTTCCGAACTATGCATGTGGAATATTATTTATGTTTGCGCGCTCTGTATATTGTTTTATCAGTGTTATTCAACGCACGCCACGAAATTCCTTCTTCAAGCTATATTACAGATTTTCCCGAGTTTTCCGATCCGATTCCGGCTGATCTGCACAGAATAACTTCTTGGCTTGTTTCGCGTGTCTTGTTTATTTTTAACCGCACCGCACTTGACTTCATCTAGCCATCTCCGCCCGTTTCCCGATGCCGAATGCGATTCCTGAGCAAGTGCCTCATTCGCCGGCCGTGCGCGCTGCTCGACGTTCCGCTGCCCACTAAAACCCGTACTCGCACTCGTATTTATAGACGGATTTCTTGACGCGCTACCTGTGACGTCGCTGCGCTCCATTGTTGGATTCGGAATGAGGATCGGATCAGCGATCATTCGCCGCGGAAAAAGAGAGGAATTCCTCTCTCACAGGGAGGCGATCTATGCTGATATATGCATGCCCTACACAGATATTAGGAATGAAGTAAGATCTTTTCAAAAATCTAAAAAATTAAAAAATGTAATAATCATGTCCCAAATGGAATTTTCATTTTCCTTAATTTTTTGTTTGAAAAATAGATTATTATATGCATTCCCTGAAAACTTGAGAATTTGATTTTAAAAATAAAAAAATTTGATAATAAATTTCATTTCCAAGAACTTTAAAAACTGTCTGATACGAAGAATTTTTTTCCTATAAAAAAAAGCCGTTAAATGCTGTACTAAAAGTTTAATGTTAAAAAACATTTCAAGCAAAGAATCCAAATTAGATTATCCCATATCAAGATTATAATAATGCCTACAGAACTGGTCGTGCACTTCCAGTTCCTGTCGTCGGCGTTCCTGTTACCACATGAATATATGTATACCAATACACCGAAAAAATGCGAGATTAAAATTAAAATGCCATATACAAAATTATTAAATAATCGTATGTTATTTGCAGGACATGTTCAAATTCCGTTTCCCGTGTTTACTGGTCACAAGCTCCTGTTATCTTTTACATGTCGCCTCCAGCGGCTACTGGGGATCTCATCATTTGAACTGTAGATAATAACTCTGGTAAATATATGTGGTTAACCTGACTGGGGGACACGTCCTTGGATGATCGTAATAGTCGGCTTGGGATAGGCATTTGTCACGGTGCACTTGAACTGGGTTTCGTTGTTGATAGTTTTGTGGGGCAGCTCCAACGTGTAGTTTCGTGCATCTGTAACCTGAACCCTCTTGAGAATAGTGTACGAAATTGGAGAGGTTCCTTCTATAAATAATAAACTTTAAAACATTGTTGTGGAGTTTTAGTAGGAGTCTGCAGGAGAATGCAGGTCTGCAGGGAAATGATGACCTGCAAATAAAGAAAATAGATATGCTCTTCTCCACACCACCTGGAGGTAGAGAATTAGGAGCGATTTTTTTATAGTCGTATCCCCAAAATGGACTAATCGACTTTTCTTAATTTATAATATATATACAGCAGCATTTCAAAAGTATTTCATGGAATTAAGTAGAAAACATATTAAATGTATTTCATATGTATGCAACACTAGAATTAAAATACTAGGAATGAAAGCAATGGTTTGACTATCCTTTTTTCATAATCCCTCGTTGACGACCTTAAGAACGTTTAAAATTTTATTTACCAGAAATTTAAAAGTTTCTGATACGAAGAATTTATTTCCGATACACAAAAAGCCGTTAAATGCTGCAGTAAAATAATAGAGTTAAAAAAATGTTCAGGCTATCCATTTTAAAATTGGCAATTCAGCATGAACCTTCCTGAACTATTTGGGCGCTAAGATCTAGGATATGTCACACGTTAAAGATTAGATTGATGCCATCAAGAGCGTACAGAAAGATCTCGAACCTGGTCGTGCACTTCCAGTTAGCTCCTACTTTATCTTGGACCTGAAGCCGTTTTCCATCAGCGGCGCCACGTCCTTGGGTTCGCGGTTTCTTGTCTCCGGCAGATAGCGACAGGTGAGCAGGAATCCGTAAACACAGAACGCGGCGCAAATTAGGAAAGCATACGGTCCAATCACCGAATTCAGGATGGGAAACATCATGCCAAGCAGGAAGTTAGCGAACCAGTTAAAAAAACTTCCAAAAGCCATCGCCAAAGGGCGCGGCGCCGGCTCAAAGATCTCTGTGGAGTCGGAAAAAATAAGCAACAAGTTGGACATCGCGGTGGATTACAACCTGAACCAATGAAGTAAGGAATGGGCCCCAGACCCACGTTAAAAGCCAGGATATACAGCGACAGGAAGGCAATGCAGACGAATGAGAACTCTTTTATGGATAACTGTGGGTGAAAATAAACGATGTATGTTGAAGCCCCACACACAAAAAAATCGATTGGTAAAATTGACCAATATAGTATTAAACCCATTATCCCCAACCATAAAATTGTCAATTTTACTCAATCTATTTTAATGGTTGCTAAAAAAATGTAAAATAGACCCAACCCATTGAATTAGTGAATTCTTTTATAGTAAACATGTATATACTTATATAATTTTTATAAAATTCAAAGATACGTTACTGCAGCATGGTAATTTATAAGGGAAATCTAAAAGATAATTTTCAAATTGCCCTTTTTCAGCTACTGGCTGATGTATGTTGAAGTTTTTAGAGGATATATGTTTAAAGTAAAATCTTAACTTTTCAGCGTTTGGTAGTCTAGGGGTACGAGACGCTAGACCCAGTTCGGAATTATATTTCGTGCATTTATTCAATCTTAGCTAACAGATGCCGGTGTGAGCGATTATTAAACCGATTGTTTTATATAACAACTTGCTGGTGCAAGCCGGTAACAAATTTTTTTTTACCGTCAAAACAAAACATGAAAACTAATTCCCGTTGTAGAATTATTTATAGTTACTAAACTATGTGCATTGGTCAATTTTACGAACGAAAATTTTTTGTGTGCATGACAGAAATACAAGTTTACCATTAGTTTAAGGCCTACGACAAGAAGGGTCAAGAAGATGGCACTGAAGAGACACGACAGCATCATCATGAGGCGTCTGTTTACCCTCCTCATTAACAAGGGACCCAAGAGGGCGACTACAAAGTTCTGGAATCCCAAGGCAAAGTTAAGCCACAAAGACACCGCTAAAGTGAATCCGGATTGGGTGAAAATGTCCACGGAGTAAAACCAAATCTAGCAAAGGAGAAGAGGTGAGCGTACAACTCTAGTTCCTGGTCAGTTATCCATGGTTAAACATTGGTTATGTGTAGGACTACCCACCGCGTTTATGCCACTCATCTGCTGGACGAAGTGAAAGGAGCTCACTATTATCAGAGGCATCTTGAGCTTGCTGTTGCAGAGCACCTCCTTCATGGTGATCTTTTGACCCTCTGCCTCTGAGGTGACCTCGAACTCCGCCATCTCCGCGTTTACTCGTGCCTCATCCCTCCGCAGACGCATCAACGCAACCCTGGCCTTCTCCCTCCTGCCCTGGGACATCAGGAAGCGGGGACTCTCAGGGAACCAAAAGATGGGCGCTAGTCCGATTATCACGAATATCCCGGAACCAGCAAGGGCGTAGGGCCATAATTTCTCTGTGCCCAGAACAAAATTAAAGCTTATGACTTGACCCAAAACGATGCCTCCGGTGATCCCGATGCAGGTAAACACACCCACACTGCCACTTAGCTCCGCCGGAGCCAGCTCAACAAGATACATGGGCTGCGTCGCGTAGATTAGAGCGGCAGCCAGTCCTCCGATCAGTCGACCCAGCAAAAGCATCTCAATTGAGTTTGCCATCCGGCAGAATAGCTGACAGATGCAGGATACCAGAATCAGCATCCCACTGAGGACCAGTATTCCTCGACGGCCCAGTCGGGCACTGAAGATGGGGGCGAATGGAGCGCCGAGCATGCCGCCGATCAGGAATATGGAGACCACGGCCGACATCATTATCGTCACCTGGGACTCGCCCAGCCGCGATGAATACCGGGTTAGAGCCGATTCCATTATCCACGATCTAATGAACTGGAGGTGCTCTTCAGTTGGGGTTATAGCTAAAATTCCGTGTGACCCACCGTAGATGGAGCATTAACCACGGCGAACGCATAGCCGATGGGGATGACGGTGCCCACGGTGATGCACACACAGATGAACATCAGCAAGGTCGTCCAGCCCTGCTTCCCCTCGGCCATACCAAAATTTAAGGTAGTGTTCTTTGATCTAAAGCTATGTGTTCATATTATTTCCTAATGATTTAATCGAAATACTGACATTTGGCGACAGTCATCTCTATAATTTTTATAGCATTCTTTAGGGCTGTTAATTTTAGTGGGTGGATTTCGGGAGCTGGATAATATCCCAATTTTTTGCCCGTCAAAACGGTCTAACTTATTGGTATCCATTTTCAGCATTTTTAAAATCGTTAATCTTTTTGTGTGTTTATAATCTCTTTCGTCGGTAAAACAGCGAAACAAATATATGAAAGCTTAAAAATAGCTCTGGGTCACCGATTAGTAATCTTAGGTCCTAATGTTCCCATTTAATATGCACCAGAAATAACTCTGTTTTTTCTTAAGTCCAGTGAAATAATAACACGGGCTTGACTTGTTAATTAATAGTTAGCCAACTTAATTAAGTTCCATTAAATTTTCTCACTAATGAATTGAAACCAAGTACAAGTTTCTATGAAAGTCCAGCTCGTTTTATTCTCTACGAATGGGTAATGTGACACATTAGTTCCGCTTCGAGGCGAGGCCATTGCTCATCAGCGGTTTGACGTCCTTGGGCTCCCGACCACGTGTCTCCGGCAGGTAGCGCCAGGTGAGAAGCAGGCAGTAGAGGCACACACACATGCAGGGGATGAAGGCAAAGGAGCTCCAGACACTCTGGAGCAGGGGAAAGCACATGCCCACGAGGAAGTTGCCGATCCACGAGAACAGACTGCCCATCGACATGGCCACAGGGCGAGGCGAGTCCTCAAGAAGCTCTGTGTTCATAAGGAAAAAAAAGATACAAATTTATATAGTAATTGGCTCTTAGTTCTGGTAAGTTACACCAACCTGAGCCAATGAAGTACGCAATGGGACCCAGACCCAGCTGGAAGCCCAGAATGAAAGTAAGGATGAAGGCGGCACAGAAGTAGGTGAGGATCGTGCTGCCGGATTTCTCCAGAAAGAAGAGTCCCAGGGACATGGCCAGCAGGGCCAGAGCACAAGTGGAGCAGGACATCATCATCAGAGGGCGACGCGGAAATCTGTGGATGAGTAGTGGTCCCAGGAGAGACGTACCCAAATTGAAGATCCCAATTCCCAGGTTCAACCAAGTGGCTGCTCCTTCTGAGAAGCCCGCCTTCGTCAAAATAGAGAGCGAGTAAAAAAATATCTGCAAAAGGAATCCGATATTATAATGAAATTTTAAATATAGTATAGTATAGTATAGTATATTTAATTAACTCACGGCATTGATGCCACTTAGCTGCTGGGAAGCTTGGAAGGAGCAGACCAGCAGGAGTGGAAGCCACAGTTCCCTGTCACCCAGCACCGAGCACATGGAACTAGGTTCGGAGCTGGTCTTGGCCTCCAAGGTGGCCTTCATCTCGGCCAGTTCCTGCCGCACTTCCTCCTCCGCGTTCTTTCCACGCAAACGGAGCAGAGCTTGTTCACTGGCCGCGGAGTCCCGCTTGTGCAGGTAGAGCCATCGAGGGCTCTCTGGAAACCACCAAAGGAGCAGCAGCGATGCCATCACCAAGAGGCTGTAGGAGCTTAGAGCATACGGCCACAAGCGTTCGTTGCCCAGCAAGTGGGAGAGAGTGAACACCTGGGCGAGGAGGATTCCCCCTGTTACACCGATGCAGGTGAACACTCCGACGCTGCCGCTGAGCTCTGAGGGAGCGGACTCCAGCAGATACATGGGTTGAGCGGTAAAGATCAGGGCGGATGCGATGCCGCCCAGGAAGCGGCCGGTCATCAGCATTTCCAGCGATTTGGCCGCACGGCACCAGGTGAAAAGGATGCCGGAGATCACGAGGAGCACCCCGCTGATGAGCAAGCAACCCTTGCTGGAAGTAAAAAAGGAGGTTGATCTTCTAGATCTTTTAAGACACATTTCTTGACTACTTATTTTTTAACATAGGTATCTTCTTAAGAACCATTTTCGCATTCTACAGTGTTGGCTAAAAAAAAGCGCACAGCTACTTGAACTATTCCCAATTTCAAATGTTGAATGCCGATAAGCAAATGCAAATATTTAAATAAGTTTTGGTGGGAATCTTTTCTTTAAAAAGAAAACTGCAGCTTAATTTAAGACAGAATCAGAAAAGACAAAACTTTATCATTTTACTTTTAAAATGAGTCAGTTGAAGAGTTATCCAGTTTCATAAAATCATCAAATCATTTTCCAATTACTATACAACTGTTTTTTATGATTTCCTTATTTTCTTAACTTTTTTTTTTTTTGGTCACTGAAAAACCCCTTACCGGCCATATTTGTCGCTGAGCAGAGCGCTGAAGCAGGATCCGCAGATGCCTCCAATCAGGTAGATGGACACAATGCTCGTCCATAGGATGTCCAGCTGGCCTGCGGTGACGATGGTGTCGTATTCGGTCGCAAGGATGTCCTGGCACCATTTCTTGATGATCTCCGCCGGCGAATTGAGGACCCCGAAGAAGTAGCCCACCGGAACCGTGGTGCCCAGCGTTACGGTTAGACAGATGAGCAGCAGGAGCGGTGTCCAGCCGTTGACCCTGGGCGGGGTCACATGCTGCAAGGAGAGCAACGAGATTCACGTGATTAGCACACGAAGCTGCCGGAAACGAAAGACTTAAGCAACAAACTCGTCCCCGATGAGGAAGAAAGCGTTTAGAAGAGTTCGGGAATCACCATTACAACAACCATGGCGATGGAGCTATGGAGCGATGCTGGCACGCCGAGAGCTAAACCGAAAATGAATCGCATCCGGAAGCTCACTCAGTGCTGTTCGACAGCTCGTTGAGTCATCCGGCCCGCTTGTATATCAATCACATAAACACATCTTCACTTTGCTTACTCCGGACTGGGAATACGTTTACAGCACATAACCCAGCCATAGATAAATTCAGCCTTTTTGTCTTACGAGCACTTGTTTTCTTATCATTGAAACGGGAGCGTTTGTTTGCTCTAACTACTACCCGGGAAAGTAGGTCAATAGTTAAATACTCTTTCGAATTTGATCCGAGGACTCCCGCTCTTGAAATAACAGCTTTTATTAACCGACACTTAGGCATAGACAACAGGCAGATTAGGCTATATTTAAATCTATTTTCAAAGAAGCTTACATTAGTTTGGCAAAACTCTGGCCGTTATTCACCCAACCCGACGCCGTGGAAGGGCATCCAGAGATGGTTCCGCGGCGCTTTCTGTTCAACAATAAATCTAATTAACAGAGTATTACTTTGCGCTCCGTCCCAAGGCATTTTAATTGAACTTGTGCAGTGATAAGGGGACGGAGCGCTCAAAGCTTTCTTACAGGGTGACTCTTAAAGTTAGATCCATTCTCGCATTTATTGGTTTGTACAAAAGAACTTACAGACTATTAGTTAGAGCAATTCGCCCCTGAACAATGTGGATTCCGGCTTATTGTCGGCTCTTACGAAAGGCACACGACTTGGACGAATCATTGAGTAGCCCACTGTGCCAATAGGAGTTAAAACGTATTACCCCTTATTACCGGCTACTTAAGACTAATGGCAAGACGAGCCCACTGGGCTAGGTCTCATTTGACCTTGGAGCGGAAGCACTTCGATACGAGTGGCGCCACCTCCGAGGGATCGCGTCCCCGCGTTTCCGGCAGATAGAATTTCGTCAGCAGGAAGAGCAGCACACAGGTAATGGAGAAGGGCAGGAAGACAAAGGCTCCCCACGCGTTCTGCAGCAGCGGGAACGAGATGCCAATTATGAAATTGCACGTCCACGAGGCCAGGCTGCCCATCGACATGGCCACGGAGCGGGGAGCCACCTCGAACAGTTCTGCAAATTGGAGAGCACAAATCGAATCAGTTAGAGGTCTAAAAATAACTCATCCATCCAATTATAGAGTCAGTGTGTCTGGGAACGTCCCTGATGGCCGTAAACAAATGTGCTGAGAGCCATTGAACCCCATTTGATTCCGATTTCGCCTTAATTGCAGAGCCACTTCTTCGAAACACGAGGCAGCTGCCCAGTCACGATTAATGGAGCTATTGGAATGCGCACAAACAATGGAGTCACGCGACAAATTACCTGAGCCAATGAAGTAGGGAATGGGACCCAGTCCGAATTGGTAGAAGAATATGTAGCCCATGATGCAGACGATGCAAGCGATCGCAAACCAGCTTACTTGGTCCTGAAAAAAACATTTAAATAAAATTAAAGACAGATGGGCAACACAATTTTAAAATATTGAAATGTCTAGATTAGGCAATTAAATTCAACAAAAATGGTTTAAGGAAATTCTTCAAACTTCTATATTAATATAAAGCAACATACACAACATAAACTTTAAAAAAACAAGAAATGAAGATTTCGGCAAGACGAAGTTGATAAACCTTTGTCCCTTAAACCATATCAGCATTTAAAATCATACTTAGGAATATTACAGAAACCGTATATTCGGGAGACTTGTTTATAAATAGTCAGCTGTATGATGATTTGAAAAATATTTGGAATTCGAAAATTTTAACATAAGAGACTATGATCAAAATCAACTACCACTTCAATGAGATCTATAGAAGAAAGTTGTCCTACATGCAATGGAAAGAAGACTTTTTGAGAAAGTTTTACTCCGATACCTTTCAATCTGATAGATTAGTTTGCGTAGAAACGGATAGCCGGACATGCGTCCCTGCATTGCAAACTTCTGACTGTAATCATAATACCCTCTGCAAGAGTGCGAGAAAGGATATGATATGATAACCAACCAAGCAGAGCTTGATTTGTGACTTAGTTTAAGTTTCCCTTCAAAGAGATCGCTGTGTGTAAACAAACTCACAATATAGAACAAAACAAAGGCGATGGTGAACAGGAAGATTGAGCACAGGGCGCAGGAGAACATCATCAGGGTTCGCCTGTTGCAGGTGGCCATCAGCCAGGGTCCCAGGAGAGAGACACACAGATTCAGGCAGCCAGCACCCAAATTGGCCCACTGAGCATTCACCTCGGACAGTCCTGCCTTCTCGAATATGCTGACCGAGTAGTAAAATATCTGAAACGGCAATTACCTATTAAACAGACTCG